CACATAGGGATAATAATCATCGATTATATAGACCAAAGGACATCAATATTAAAAATAACATGACGGCCTTATTTTTTTAATTCTTGTTATCTGTCCATTTGTGTCAACTCATTTTTAGGATTCTTATTAATTTAAGCATATTAAAATGGTTTTTAATAAGTGAATTTACAGTACTTTCATTAGTTAAATCAGTGTCTCTAAGTGTTTTTAGTGTAAATCAATGTAAAACTTGTGAGGAAGTCACGATTTCATGTTATTTGTGTTTCTTTACTCTTGGTCTCAAGTTAGCAAAAATACACTAATGGCCCTCTCTGTATAATATGGTAAGCCCCATGACGAAGGCCCATGATTTGAATTAGAAGGTATATACAATCACCTTGACGATTATGCCATATTGTGTCCGTGTCTCATAGAAGGAAAATATCTAAGTATACAATTTTCAGTCACCTGTACTGTACAAATATTCTTTATTTTCTGTCTCCCAAACGTAATTAAGCATTTAAACATAAAGGCCTATGTTGTATCTATATGTAGGTAACGCACAGTACCTTAAAATAAAACACGTTTAACGGCTTAAAACGCGTATCTAACGGTACGGCTATATTTTGCGTTTCCAATCAGTATAAGTGGGTAGGTACATAATTTAATAATTTTCATATTCGTATGTCGTTCAAAATCATTTTAGGTATTTATATTATTTTTTTATATGATTGAGTGCAAACTTCCAATAAGGAATGTAGATCATAAAATGTATGCGTAAAAATAAATCATAATTATACAAAAATTACCCAATAAATAACTTGTAATAATTTGTTAACGAGAACCGGTTAGAGAAAGGCAGCCTTCGGTTATCACGAGAATATCTAGACTACCGTGTCATACAGAATATATATAATAATAGAAACACAGTGGTTCAATATAAATATATTTTTCGTTTATTTTTTTTCCTTTAATCATTTTATTTAACGTTAAGATATTCTAAAATGTGAATGGTGGTGGACACTAGTTAATGTATAATAGTATAAACAAAAACGTTGGGCCGTAGTTAAAATAATTTTCAAATAGGTTTAACTTATATATATCGCGATTTAAACCGTTAAAGTGATTTAAATAAATAATATATTATATACTGCATGAAATTTATATTTTTTATAGATCTTCATTTCATCTAAGCATTATAAAAATATACAGACGGCATTTTAAAGATTTAAAAAAATAAACTTAAAAAATATTACTCGAATAAGCTCATATTTACTAAAAATTGTTTAGATCGCCACCGGTTAGAAACTCTTAAATTATTTTGATAACGTGCAAAATATCGATCGAAAAAATAGTAATTGAATATATCGAATCCTCTATATCCGAATACGGATTACTAATCTGATCTTTATAATTCTTCAGTTAGCATTATCTAAGAGATGCCTACTAATCACTAAAATAACAAGTGATATAAGTATGATAATGTTTATTAAAATACGTAATCCTTTCACCATTATAATATGTTTGTTCTTTATTAATCTCCTTTACCATGAAGTAAATACAGAAATTAAAACAGAAAAAACTGCACTAAAAGCTTATCTAAATAAATAGAAATGAATCACTGTTGAGTAAGAGTACTGTGGTTGAAATACAACCGAATAAGTGTTTCCAGTGCGCCCGCGCCGGTTTATAGTAACAATGGCGCATTGTTTACAAATAATCGCTTATTTTAAAAATGGGCTGACGGATTGCCTATGTCGAAATAACTAGGTTAACCTTTTCAGGAAAAGACTTTGTAGAAGATGTCATAAAGAATAAATCACACTAGCTTAAGTAATCTGGAATGAAGATCAATAAGTGAAACGGACACAGAAATGTGGCTATAAAACTTTAGTATTTCCTCTACTTAAACCAAACAAGACCTGAATTTATGACGTCTTAAATTTTTGACGTCGTTAATTCTAACTGATGTTTGAACGTCACAAGCGAACACTGTACTCTGTGAGTCTGTTCCGCTAACAAAGGATAGTTTATGAAACTATATAGAGCTGTTACAACTAAGCAAAAATAAAACAATGACTTATTTATAACTAAGCACTGGGGTGTTGTTAAAACAAGCCGCCATTTTGTTAACTGCATTCAGTTGGGCGGTAGACGTGCTGGTAGTTGGTAAGTCTTAGGTCTTACCTACTAAATTTTACTTTGAAAACTTTAATATTTTTCATATGTTACTGCACATGATGGCATTAAAACCGTGCTGAACGCTCACGATGCCGGTTCAAGTCCTGCCCGTGGCGAAACATTTTTTTTAATTAATTATCGATTTTTCAATTTCACTTATTTTTAGAATTCATAGGTACAATTATTCTGTAATATATATTTCTTTGTTGTTTGTTTTTACTAACAACAACTACAAGACCGCTCTTTAATCTTAACAGAGAGAGGGTATTCTTTGTATCTAACATCTAATACAGACATAGCTTTCAGTTGTAAGGAAACCAGGCGGCATTTGTCATTTTAATAATATTTGACGTTACCTTGTAATGGTTCTAAATATTTCAAATTTAGAACTAACATTTTACAGTTAGAAAAAAAGCTATTTTAAAACACTTACCTCCCTTTAATAAATTCATGATGAGTCTTTCTTTCTTACTTTACATAGGTATAACCAAGGGCTATAAAAAATTATTTGAGTTTGGGTTGGTTTTCTATGCGACAGTTAACGGCCTTGTTAACACTAAAATTAATGCCAACTGTGTTTATAAGTCATTATTATTATGTAAACAATTTATGCGCACGCGCCGATAGAAAATTTCTAATTTTAATCAATGTCAAATTAAATTATATTAAGCGAATGGATATTTCACTGACAATAATTAACTGATGTGAGAAATTTAGTGTTTAACAAATAGTCTTTGAGGAAATCAAGAGATCTAGAGTCAGTAGGTTCGTGTGAAGTGAATTCACACGACACTTAATGGAATGGAAAAGCGCTGTAAGCGATAAGAGCGCTGGAATATTTATTTCTTAAAATGTAATGATTGCATTGTTTCAAATTTTATTTCTGGAATTCTAATAGATCTATTTCAATTATAAATAAGCTTGTAATTTTAAAATTTGAGGGTGTACTTAATGATTTCCATATAAATTTACGTGTAACAACTTATCCGCAGACAAAATTGTTACTGGTAAGAAATTAAAAGAAAAAAAAGATTAAATTAACTATATTTTTTAAATCGGTTAATTGGTTAGAGTAACAGCACGGAGCGCTGACGATGCCGGTTCAGGTAATGCCGGAGACTAAAATTTTTTTATTTTTATTATATAGTGCCAGCATGTGCAACATGTGAGAAATATTAAAGTTTAGATGTTATATGGCTAGGATATATCACCTTCCACCAAATAAAAAAATAATTAATATATTAACCGCCGCAAGCGCTGTACGGTTCGCAGTTTTGCACTCGTCGCATACCGCAAGACCGCAAAGATTTTTACTTACCCGTTGCTACCAGTACAAATTGCTATCATTTTCTCGTACACGTAACAAAGAAGGAAGTTTGTGTATTTATATAATTGTTATATTATTGCTGTAAAGAATTTTCAAAATAGTTACCGTCCGGTTTAAAGAGTTTTTAGTGTTTCTCGTTTTGTTTGAATCGTGAGTACACATACAATTAGTTCAGATCATTTAGTTTCGCTTAGCGAAGTAAAGTACTACGTGTGTCTGTATATGTTTCTCAGTTCCCAAAGATTTATTTTATGAGTTCGTATTCTTAAATAAGTATTTGGTGACGCACCCACATACTGTTCTTTTAAAAAAGCAAGTCGGTAGTATTTTTTATTTATCCTGATAGGATTTTCTTTAAGTGGATTATGGTTATTCTTCCGCGGCCACGTGAACGGGGGGGGGGGTCGTGGATTATTGGTGATAATTTTCCCGGGATATTTTCGCGGTAGTGCTCCATACTATTCACATAATCGTTCTAGTTTCCACGCACTGTGTATAGACAAAGGCAAACATACATCTGTCACCTTGTCCGCGATACCTTGAAAATTGTACGTGATTGTCAGCAAGGATTATGATACTATTTAATAAAACAATAGCGTCGGTCCCTGACTTTGTCTGCGAGGAAATGTTCTATTTCAAGTAGAAACTTCAACGGTGGCGTTGTGCCTTCTTATTAGAACCGTGATAGCTAGACAGTCTCAATTAAGTTAATTTGGTATTGACGTTTCTATTAGAAGTGTAAGTTACTTTATCAAAAGCCTTTGTTTTTTACATTCCAAAAAATAGATTAATCGTTTTAATTAAATTTATTTGTTAGTTGATATACTTAAAGAACACTTCTAATACTCGGAGCGTACGGGTCAGATCTGTCTATGTGTAGAAAAATATACATGTACATAATTAAACATAGTTCATGAGCGTATCCGGATTCTGATTTTTTGTCTTAACTCAGCTTTAAGGACCTTAAAATGGCCATGTAATACGAGATAGGCCTTTTCAGTTTCGGATAATATAATTCTGCTCGTTAGCCAAAGGGTAGCTTATCTTCCTTCCCTTGCCCCCCAGGTACTATTGTTTATTTTTAAACCTGTACAAACTCAAGAGGTTTACACGAAAAGAGGTTATACCACAATCTCTATTAAGACATTTTAATTATCTTATCCTTATGTGGAAAACCATTAGATCATAATTTAAATTACTGTTCACTTGTGTACATAAATATTATAATTGGTTTATTTGTACGTGCTTTAATTTTAAAACCCACATTTTATGGTGCTGTTAATATTAACGGTTATATTTTACTTTAAGATGATTACAGAGGTAATAGTGTTAACAAGCATTAAACGTGTTTTACTGTATATTGCGCGAGTATTAAACGGGTTTAAACGAGAATATATCAAACTTCCAAAAGTCTTCAATAAATGTTTTTATTATTATGATTATAAGGCCCAATCACACAGAATCCCTAAATTTATAATTTAGTATGTTTTTAAAATAAATACTCTGTCAACAGGGATTCCGGGGAAGAGCCGGTGTCTATCCGCGTGCCGATCAATGGCATGACGTGCCAGTCCTGCGTCCGGAGCATAGAGGGATCCGTGCGAGAATTACCTGGAGTCAGGCACGTCAAGGTAAGAGAGAATCAGAAGAAAATAATCGGTGTCAAGCTATCAAAATAGCAGAGAGAAAAATAAATGTATTGTTCTTTTAACTAAAATGTTTATGTGGTTATGTATAGATATTAACTACATTTTTAGTTTATACATATTCAATGACATAGATTTAATTATTACCTGTTCAGATAAAAATCAACGCATCAGAACACATTAGTATTAGTCCAATGGTCAAAATATTATAGATAATCGAAATCGTTTGTCACTGTTAACAGTATATATTTATTGGGAACCAATGTCAGTATCCACACAATTTTTATAGCTAGAGTAATTTTATATACTAAAATAATTCATATATTTAAGTACTAATTAACAGGAGTAGTAGGTACACATTTAATAAAATAAAACACTTTCAACGGTTTAAAACGCGATAACTAGTATGTAGTGAACTTATTTACAATTTAAATTTACTACGACCCGACGTTTCGGATGCTTTGTAGCAATCGTGGTCACGGGGATCGACTGAAAATAAAGGATGTTAAAGTAAAAAGTTAAGTGTTAAAAGTGCGTTTTTATGTTAAAGGGCATATGATTTATTTCATCTACCATCATGTTAACCACATGCTTACCTGGTCTCGTTTGTCACGAAATCTTTTTATGTATTTCAGGTGGAGCTATCGGAAAAGGCTGGTTACTTCAGATATGACCCTCGCGCTTGTTCAGCGCCTGCCATCCGCGCTCACATAGAAGAAATGGGCTTCGAAGTGCCCACAGACACCGCAGCAGACGAAACCAAGTGAGCTACTACTGTTTTGATTTTTTTTTACATATAATTTACATATGATGGCATTTTATAAATTAAAAATCTATAAAGAAAAAAAAATGACGACACGGACGGGACTTGAACCGGCATCCACAATTTCCACACATTAAAATAAAACACTTTAACGGGTTTAAACGCGATATATATTAGTCAAACTTATTTTAATATGATTTTTAACATCGGCCCGACGTTTCCCCTTGTCTCTCAGTGACCACGGCTGCTGCAAAGCATCCGAAACGTCGGGCCAAAGTTAAAAATAATTTTAAAATAAGTTTAACTAATATATATCCCGTTTTAAACCGTTAAAGTTTTATTTAAAAGTCTCACTGTAGCTCACTTCACCAAAACCAATAGCGTGTTGTACTTTTTATACAATGTAAATAGATTTTTAAACTTCTTTCTCGCCTTTGATTGTAATATAAAGCAGGACGAATTTACGTACTAAACTAACCAAAGTAAAACTACTTTTAATGAAATAGTACAATGAAGCCGACACAATAATTCGGTTGCTCTGTTCCAGAAATTTGCTAGAGCGAGAAATACCCACTGACTTGCTGATCGACATGACGGGAGCCCCCGCGGAGAGCGTCGCGGTGATAGGAGTCGCGGGCATGACTTGTCAGTCCTGTGTCAACACTATACAGGGTGATTATTTTAGACGTTTTGCTCTATTTATAGATACCGAATCAACATTAGCGTTGTCTTTATGAGAAGTGTTTTTTCTATCGTGGTCATTCCTAAAACAGGAATGCAAAAGGGCTTTTAGCTGTGTGAGCATTTTGTATTATTTTATATTACTGATCGCAGCGGGCTTTATGGCCTAAAGCCTTCGTTGATATATGCTCCAACCAACACAAAAAAAATCAAATTGAACCAGCATTTCCTGATATAAACTGCGTTCAAACAAAAAACCCTTCAGCTTTCAAATATTAGTATAGATTTATTTAAATAAAACACCTTAACGGTTTAAAACGCGATATATTAGTTAAACTTATTTGAAAATGATTTTTAACTTCGGCCCGATGTTTCGGATGCTTTGCAGCAGCCGTGGTCACGGGGAGTCTCCCCAAGGCCGAAGTTAAAAATCATTTTCAAATAAGTTTAACTAATATATCGCGTTTTAAACCGTTAAAGTGTTTTATTTAAATGTGTACTACTCGCGTAAACTATAGACAGTATTTAGTATAGATTTAGTTAGTAAGCCTCTTTGAAATAAATAAATAATGTTTGTTCTGTTTCTTTTTACCGAATAAAACGGTTACATAGAAATCTTAATGTACATTTTCAGGCAGTCTATCAGAAATGCCGGGTGTCCTGCATAGCGTAGTGAGTCTGGTAGACAACTCAGCGGTGGTTCGGTTCTCGCGCGAGGCAATTACACCAAAACAGATTGCCGACGCAATATATTCGCTCGGATTTGATGTGGACATAACAAACGTCGATGGGAAGTCTTTTAGTGGTGTGTATATTAACTTACACTATATTATATATACGTGGAACACTTTTAACGGTTAAAATTGGGTAATACTTATTATCAACTACGAACGCGCTATCAAATATTACGCGTTTAAAACCGTTAAAAGTGTTTTTTTATTAGAGTGCTAATGGTTACTTTGCTTTTGCTGTACACTTTGGTTTATTAAATGGTTTTTAATAAACCAAAGTGTAAATTGTGTAAAATTTATGGTTTTACCTGTTAAATAATACTAATTCAATTGCTCGTTACAGTGACATTGTGCGGATAGCAATGGTATGAGTAACGGGTTTGATCTCCACCAGCACCGACATATTGTGTCTAATCAATTTGTAATTTTTCTGAACCATGTAGGACTTTAAAAAAATAAAAAATATAGGTATATAATAGGGAATTCCGGTCGTCGTTACAACCCTTCACCGATGTGAAAGCTACAGCTGTATAAGTCTGCAGATTTCCGATTACCCAAAACAGATAGATAGAATAGGCCGGCGGCGAATCTTGCGCATGTTTAGAGTATTTCACCGTCCAACAAGTAAACCGTACTCTAAAAAACTTTCTTTGTATAAAAATAAACTCTGTATAAAGAAATATACTTTCTTACTCTGTTCAGCAATATTACCAATACATATAATAATAATTTGTCTAAAACAAAATATAAATCCATAATAATTATGTGCTCGTTCCAGAAAATGGTCACCTACAAGCCTCCGGAGACGGTTTCAAAGCATCACCGATTAAAAATGGAGGTCCTGCTAATGTTAGTATTTAATTATTATAATTAAAACACTTGTTACTCTAGTGTGCGTTTTCTAAAGCTATGTAAACCTTGTGTGATCACAATTTTATGTAAATTGTGTGCTTGTTTACCAAAAATGCCAAGTTAGAAAAAAATACACTATAGGTTAAATCGTTATAAGAGAAAGAAAATTCTATAAGCTATAGCTCAACAGCTCGGCTCAGCTTCGAGTCTCGCCCGTGTCATTTTTTTTTTTTTTTTTTTTTTTGTTCCCACAAACAATTGTGACCCTTTCCTGTGTAGGTATAGTCTCAAACCATTGTTATTATGTTAAAAACCGGGTCTATAAAGATAATTTTCCAGGGTACAATATCACCGCCGCCAGAGGAAATATCCCAGTGCACGTTAGAGGTCAGAGGAATGACGTGCGCGTCCTGTGTCGCAGCTATTGAGAAACACTGTTCTAAGTTATATGGTAAGCATTTTGAATGTATCGGAAACTTTTAACGTATGCTTTTTATATGAAATAACAATTTAATAAGTGTTGTATAGTTTATTAAATCAGAACGCTTTTATTGGAACATTTTGAACGGTCTAAAACAGGAAATTCAACAGTATAGGGATTTTTTAACTAGGACCAAATGTTTTCCGCGTGGCTGGTGCAAAGGATCGTTGTAATTACATGTAATTACAACTTAAATCAATGTCTTAATGATAAAAAATCTTGGGTATTGGAGGAACCCGCTCTAATAAGGAAAGGAACGACTGTAAAATGAATTGTTTTCTTGGCAAATATAAAAAAATCTTAAAGAACGGAGATTATATATTTTTTTGCAGGTGTACATTCGATCGTGATAGCGTTGTTAGCAGCTAAAGCAGAAGTTAGGTTCGAGCCGAACAAAATACCGGCGACGTCTATAGCGCAATCCATCACAGAATTGGGTTTTCCAGCTGAGGTCATCAGCGAGAGTGGTGCACCTAGAGATTTGACACTTCTGGTTAGTATCGAAACAGAACAGTGTTTTTTTTATGATAGAGGAGTAAGCATAGTATTCATTTGATGTGAGGTGAAATAACCTAGCCATATAAAATCTGAACAAGATGTGCTGTCGGCCTATTTTGACTTTGGACTTTCTGTAATCCACAGACTGGAAATGAAACCCGAATTGGATGGATGGCTCTATCCGTGTTTACCATCCATTTAATATCTATATTTCGAAGCGAAGCTCTACATGTTTCAGAAAAATTATAAATTAACTAGAAACATGTTGAATCCGATGGGGATCGAATCCACGGCTCGTTTTACGTAAGCTTAAACAAAAAGTTTACGCAAGTAATATGCATATAAATAAAACATTTCAACCGGTAGAAAACGCGAAATATATTAGTTAACATATTTTGCAATTTATGCAATTGAACTACGACCCGACGTTTCGGGTGCTAACATTAATAATTTGATTTCTTTTTAGATAAAAGGAATGACGTGCGCGTCTTGTGTCAACAAAATCGAGAAAACTTTGCTCAAACTAAACGGAGTCGCGTCTTGTGTTGTCGCGCTCACTACATCCAAGTAAGTTATTTGATTACACATAAAATGTTTGCCTATTCGTCTGCTATTTACACCACATCGACTAAAAAGGTTGTCACAGGAACTGCTAGTTCGACTTGAACAATTATTTGTGTTGGTGATAATGTACTGAGGAAGGCTTTAATTTATAGACAGCATCTAACATTACGCTGCGACCAATAGGGAGCGAAGAAGCTGTGGGAAATGTGGAAAAAAGGGGGAATATTATGCATTTTTGAGGGTTTCAGTTGCACGCGCTGCGAAAACGGTTGAAGATAATTATGCAAGAAAAAGAATTATTCTTTTTAAAATAATCTAACAAAATATCTGCGACAGTATTATGTCTATCTTTTAAGATTGACTTGCAAAAACGATGGTTTCAGCTATTATTTATAAAGCTGAGGTTATTTGCAAAAATAAATATATGATTTAAATAAAACACTTTAACGGTTTAAAACGCGATATATTAGTTAAACTTATTTGAAAATGATTTTTAACTTCGGCCCGACGTTGAGTCTCCCCGTGACCACGGCTGCTGCAAAGCATCCGAAACGTCGGGCCGAAGTTAAAAATCATTTTCAAATAAGTTTAACTAATATATCGCGTTTTAAACCGTTAAAGTGTTTTATTTAAATGTGTACTACTCGCGTAAACTATAGACAGTATCTAAATACGTATTGTCTTGTATTACAGAGGTAAAGTGAAATACGATCCAGAGGTCATAGGTGCCCGTAAGATCTGCGACGCAGTGAACAGTCTCGGGTTCGATGCTAGCCTGGTCACATCTAGTATTAGGAACAGTGGCAATTACTTAGAACACAAGTGAGTATTCGGTTTATGTGCTCCTGAAAAACAACTTGCCGACCTAAAATAAAATATTATCTGTATATTTTTAGAGAAGAAATAAGAAAATGGCGGAACGCGTTTTTAATTTCGCTAATTTTCGGAGCACCCTGTATGGCGGCGATGGTGTATTTTATGTCGCACATGGGCCCCGGGCATTCCGCTCGGGATATGTGCTGTGTGGTACCGGGGTTGAGTCTTGAAAACTTGATTATGATGGCGCTGGCTACGCCTGTACAGGTATGGAAAATAATCAGCTTGTTAGTTAAAAACCTACAATTATACGAAAAAATCTAAGTAACAGAATAGTCAATTTGTATATACATATGTTATGTTATCCCATGCTATGTTAAAATAAAGAAAATAACATGGGAACTTCAGTATTAACACAATAACACGGTAATCGTACGATAGTTGACAAGGACGGCACAGCACTACACTGCAGGCGCGTGAGGTGGGGCGTGCGGATAGCGGGGGGACATGCTCCCGCTCTTTACCTCAGACCCCGACTGCATTCAACTCGCGCGCTATCTAGTACTAGTGTTTAAATGTAACCATGCGAATATTTCTGTAGCCTTTAAAACATATAAAAATTTAGATAGCTTCGTGGTTAGAACGAGAAGGAACACACGAGGGACAAACAATAACACTGGAACGAAATTTTAGTATAGGCTGCAGTTATATAGAAACTTCTTTCGCGCAATGTTCGTGTTATAAGATTAAAATATACTGTATCATCAATCAGTTAAATGTCGTGTAATAAACTGTATTTTTTTTTAGTTTATCGGTGGTTGGCACTTCTACAAGCAAGCGTACAAGGCACTAAGACACGGAACATCCAATATGGACGTGTTGATCTCTATGACTACTACAATAAGGTACATAATCGTTTGTAATTTAATTTATGTTCAGTCTGATTATTTTTCAAAGTAGAATTTAATTCCTTAAACGAACTTGAGCTGTTGTAAAGTCAACATTTGACAAGACATGTTTATGGACATACAATTTCAATACCGAAGTATAATTCTTCTTAGTACATTTATTCTGTGCTTTAACTAAGTTTAAATATAGAAGTAAAAAATTAAGATTCAATAAGATTTTGTTGCATCTTTTAATAAAACATTTAACGATTTAAAACGCGAAATGTATTAGTTAACTTCAATGTCGTGTTGAGTTTGTTTGCTAATACATTTCGCGTTTTGAACCGTAAAAAAGTTTTTATTATACTGTGTGCTACTCGCGTTAACTACTTCTTAAAACAATACTTTTTAATTACAGTTACGCGTATTCCCTAGCAGTCGTGATAGCAGCGATGGCTCTAGAGAAAGACACCAGCCCGTTAACCTTCTTCGACACACCGCCGATGTTGTTAGTCTTTGTATCTCTGGGAAGATGGCTTGAACATATCGCTAAGGTAAATCCTTCAAACTGAGGCTAATTAAAACAAAATACACGTTTCTCCACGTACCAACGACCACGTTCTGTTCCGATGCTAGCATTGGTAGATTGGTGGTTGGTGATACCAATTTATCAAGCTTGTCCCCTTCACGGACATTGAATTTTCTCAACACAACATCGTTCTCTTGCTCAGTCAAATTGCAACCTTCACATCGCATTAAGGTTCAAGTCATGAACGGTCGGTTGTAGCTTAATGTTGGTATTTTGTTTTAATTCTTCACTGTTCTATACTTCTTGTTACTAAATCTTTTATCACTGTAAGCTTTAATTTATTTAAATACTATAGAAATAAATAAAAACATAATTCCCTTTTTTTGCTTTTAATTTTCTTTCGCCACTTCTTACACGATTTTTTTTATTTTACAATATTATAATAATTTCTAGGGCAAAACATCAGAAGCCCTATCCAAGTTGCTCTCCTTGAAGCCGACTGAAGCTGTACTGGTCACTCTTGATGCTGAGGGTCGAGAGATTTCCGAGAAGAATATACCAGTTGAGCTCGTAGAGAGAGGTGACGTTTTAAAGGTATCTTCTCTATCTTACTCTAGTATTAATTATAATCTTACGCTGTGTCATTTTGGGCATCAAAATTTGGTTTCGCAAACCTCTTTCTCATCTTTATAAAATTGAAGCTGTTTCGCAAGATTAAATTTAAGTTTATTTTAAAACAGTTAATATTAAAAAAGAAGAGATACATATACCGTAGAAGACATTCTTTTAGATAATTTAAAGACGAATAATTATTTTATTATATCTTTTGGGTATCTTGAACCGTTTTTGCAGCGCACGCAATGGATTCCCTCAAAGATCAATAATGTTTTTAATCTTTTCCGCATTCCACTGTTTCTTCGATCCTATTAGTCCCAGCCTGATGTTTTATTGTCTGAAGCCTTGGTACATGGTCTTTTTAATACAAAAATAATGTTTCACTTCGAACCACCATTTCCTGAGTTTAGCACGTTATAACAAACATCTTCACCTGTATAATATTAGTATAAATTGCATAGTAAAGAGATATTCTCATCGACAGGTAGTTCCAGGCGCAAAAATCCCAGTGGATGGCAAGGTTATAACTGGGCAGAGCACGTGTGATGAATCTCTTATAACCGGCGAGTCTATGCCAGTTGCTAAAACCAAAGGTACACATCTCTTTGCAGCTTATGTTACTCTAGTGACTTCATTGCTCTGTTTAGTTCCTGATAATACCATAACTCTGACCGATTAAAACGCGTCATATTATTATAATTAGCTGTTTCAACAAAACAATGCCCATCTGGTGACCACCGCTGATTGATGAAGATGATGATTATTGATGATCTGGTAGTATAGTGTGTAAATACGTAGTAATAAGTAGTCATATAGATTACCTTATTTTGACGTTTTTATTTGTGTTTATTTATTTATGCCTAAGTAACTTAGTTAAGATGTTATGAATGATTTTTAGATTAAACTCATTTTGTATTATTGTTTATTATGAGGTTTAGTAATTTTTTATTACTGAATTTTCATTTCTACCGCGGTTGCTTGGAAGCGATAGCTATTTAGATGGATAGCTATAAAGTCGCCGTTTGTCCTTAATAACCGTCAATTGTTATATATTTTTGTTGTCTTGTTCTGTGACAATAAAGAATATTTGTATTTGTTTTTATCAGATTTGTATAAATATCTTTAATTTGTCATGCTCAATGCACAGATTAAATTTTCTTTAATTTGACATTTACAATGACATAAAACAATTAAAAAATGAGTCGTCTTCTGGTTCTCTATGGTTTGAAATCGGCCATATTGGTTGTACTATACCCTATAGACCTGTCACCACTTCTTATCTCTTAATGACGTCATCCCTGTATTCGTCTAACAATAGTATGATTATTATGCTTGATGTATATTTCTACAGATTCGCTGGTAATAGGCGGTAGTATTAACCAACACGGCGCATTACTCATGCGCGCTACACACACAGGCGAAGCGTCGACTCTTGCGCAGATCGTGCGATTGGTAGAAGAGGCACAGAGTAGCAAAGCACCTGTGCAGAGACTTGCGGATACGATAGCTGGGTGAGTATAGACAGATTCATATTAGAAATATCTGCAAAAATACAGGAAATAATTTATATATAAATGATGAATGAATATTATTTATATTTTCGAACCGTGGGTTATCATAGAAAATATTATTAAGTGAATAGATAAATATTTAACGGTTTAAAACGTGAAGTATATTTTTTAAGTATTGTTTGTATTTTACGCCAGTTGTACAAATAAAATCACGTTAAATATTATTAATAAGTATTTCACATTGAAATGTAACACTTGACATAATAATATATAAGGGTTTATAACGCGAAATATATTAACTATTTTTACAACGACCCGACGTTTGTGATGCTTTGCACTAGTTTATTAGGTAAACTGTCCACTTTTTAACGACTTAAAGATAAAGATTGTTAGCCGGTCTAAATAAAATGTAAAGTATATAAATTAGAATATACATCACAAAACTGTTGTCTGCCTCTAGAAAAAAAGTATTCTTGTAATTAAACTAAAATAATATTATAATGTAATTTCTTTCAGATATTTTGTGCCAATCGTGGTCTTTCTCTCCATACTGACGCTGGTGTGCTGGATTATAAGTGGTGCTATAGATGTCGACAGGATAAAAGCTATCACACCTGTAAGTGTTTTTATTTATTTATTTGGTATTTATACAACACTACTAATACTATTTATAACTAACAATCAAATATAAAATAAAATTTGCTGTAATTTTGGTATCAAATATTATACGTGACTGCTCTCAGTGTAATTATTAATGTTGATTGACGTAACTTATTTGAAGAAAGGATTTAAAATATCAATTTTTAAATACTGTCTATAGTTTACGCGAGTAGTACACATTTAAATAAAACACTAACGGTTTAAAACGCGATATATTAGTTAAACTTATTTGATAATGATTTTTAACTTCGGCCCGACGTTTCGGATTCTTTGCAGCAGTCGTGGTCACGGGGAGACTGTATACATATGTATATATATATATATATATATATATATATATATATATATATATATATATATATATATCTCTATTTTTGACACACATAAAATTGCGTTATTTTCAGACACTATACAAAACATATGCTTTAGAGTACGAAAAAAAGAAAAGCAAACAAAATACAGCCAGAGCAACAGCACGGAATGCTGACGATGCCGGTTAAAGTCCTGCCCGAGTCGATTTTTTTTTTCAATTTATTTTCGATTTTTAAATTAAATTAGCCCGTCAAATTTGGGGCAGTTAGACGAAGGGTTTTAACAAATCTAAAACTTATTGTTGTAAAGCTTGTCTTTTAGTTCTAGAGATGCCCATTTAGACAGAATGCCACCGAATTTCAACTAATCAAAATAATGTACTTGTTAATATTATTAGACCATAAGCGTAAGACGTGAAAAGCTAGAAGGTGTCGTAACGCATTTTGTAACGAAGTAGCTTAATCTCACACAGACTTTATAATATTTAATTGTAACTATAATCTACCTATAATCGCTTCTAGGAAATCTATCGCGACTTCTCCGACTGGGAATTGATAGTGCAAACGTCTTTCCACTTTGCGCTCTCAGTTCTGGCGATAGCGTGTCCCTGTGCGCTCGGCTTGGCCACGCCCACCGCGGTCATGGTCGCCACGGGGGTGGGAGCCAAATTGGGCTTATTGATAAAGGGGGCAGAACCCTTGGAGAACGCACATAAGGTAATCAATTACAAACAATCTAACTGATTATTCAATTAATGTTTAACTATTTAGTTAGCGTCTGTAGTTTACGCGAGAAAAACACTTTTAACGGTTTAAAACGCGAAATATATTAGTTAGACTTATTTGAGAAGTATTTTAATTACTGCCCGACGTTTCGGATGCTTTGCAGTAGCCGTGGCCACAGGGTCACTGCTACAAAGTATCCGAAACGTCGCGCAGTAACGTAGTTAAATGTAGATAGTAAATTTTGATGGGACACCAATATGAGTCTCCATGGAAACTCTTTTCAATAAATAACCAAAGGCAGTTCATCCATTAAGTGAACCATATGCTTATCTTTCTGTTATATACATTTTGGTTTTTCTATAGGTTAAAACAGTGATATTCGACAAAACTGGAACAATCACACGAGGCAGCACTACAGTTGCCAGAGTCTCGCTCCTAACAGGCGAACCAAACATGCTACCAGATATCCTCGCTTGTATTTTGACTGCGGAGCTCAATTCGGAACATCCTGTAGCTTCCGGTGAGTTACTTAGACTAGACATTCAAGTTAGTTGTTTCTGACGCGCTCGTTAGTCTAATGGTAGCAATGGCTTATTACTAACGGGTTTTGGGTACCATCCCCACCGGGTGCAACATAATTCTAATCATTTTATAATTTTTCTGAAACACTTTGGACTTAGTATCTATATGTTAAATGGGTAGGAATACTAAAATCCCGTCAAGTTTAATCGCGATGTGGTTTTAGTCTGTGGATTTCCAAATATCCAAAGCCAAAATTAGTGAACAGGGCATATTATTTAGATGTTATTATGTTGTATCATAAAAAAACTTCTCGTAAAGTTATGTATCTTATAAGTCATTGTTATAAAATGTACATGGCTCCTATATTCATATTTAATTATAAATGTCATTGTTTCGGATTAAACTTTGGCTACAAACTTCTATTACAGTATATACAGTTGGATATACGTGTTGTCGCTTATTTAGTGACGAAAAATTTATGGAAAAATTGTTAAAGTAATTTTTAAAACTACGATATTTTCTACTGTCTGTAGTTTACGCGAGTAGTACACATTTAAATAAAACACAGTTTAACTAAAATAAATCGCGTTTTAGACCGTTAAAGTGTTTTATTTAAATACGATATTTTTTTTCAACTATAATAGGATATAGGAAGTGCCTTGAATTCTAATTTCGACATTTATATATACAGCGATAGTGCGTTGGTGTAGCGCAGTGTTGGGCTCGTCTGATCGGGCGCAGTGCAGCGGGTTTACAGCCGCGCCCGGGTGCGGTTTGCGGGCTAGACTTACTCTGCGCGCGCGAACGACGCCATTACCCTTGGATACTGCGGCATTGGGAGATCGGTAAGACCTATAAAAGTTTACACTTGTAACACCAAAACTACGATAAACTTATAAAATATAGTGTGAGATCACTCTATCTCTATCTTGTCTTATTCAAATTCAAAATGAATCTTTTCACTTTAGGTATTTTGGGTACTTAAAAAATATTGCCAGTACACATTTCAGTGTCAGATGCACTGTTTGGTTCATATAAGTATGCAATTCAAGGGATGGGGTATTGGGGTATAAGGGTTGGGGATATTTATCATGTTTTTAGATTTAAAGATGGAGTCATAAATAATTTTCACGTCCTTATATAATAATTACTTTTTAATCTTCTTAAATCTATAATATTAAACATTAAAAAAAAATTACACACTGTCATGACCAGAACTGGCATCCATAGCGATCCGTGATGTTACTAAAACTGCCGCCACTGAATTTTTCAACCTATTGTTCAATGTAGCTCTCGAGCAATTTAATTTCAACCTTAACACTTGCTCATCAAGGTTCAATGTCTTTTACTTTGCAGCAGCAGTGTATTTTTTAATCTAAATTCGATTTTAATTTTTTATAATGCCATCATAAATAATGTGAAAAATATAATTTATTTTAATTACATCTGTTTTTCTTACAGAGAAACCTCGTCTTTCCAGCTGGCAGGTGTAACAGTTGACATGATCGAGAGCGAAGGCGACTCCGCCCTCAGCTCAGCTCAAGCGGCGCACAGACTTAACGCTATCATACGAACGGATGTTGAACAGGTAATCTATATATGAACAATGTTTTATCGGACTTGTGACTCGAATCTAAGGTCAGATACCTTCTGGTCTAGTAGTGCGCAGGAGTGGCGGGGCTAGGCACCTTTCTTCCAAGAAAACGTTCAATTATTTAAGCCGAATGAGTGTAGCACAGTTTCTCTTAAAAAAATAATACTAATAAAAAAAAAATCGTAGCACAGTTCATTTCGAAACTAGTAGTAAACTATCTACTTTTTAAAATTTTTATAGATTATATTAATAATTTCGATTTTTATAGAGTAGTACATTTAACTTACGACTTATAAAAGATACTTATGTATAGAAGTCCTCATAACAGTGTATATTGTTTTAAAAACCTTAAAATATAGTTTAATATTCTAAATTAATATTATTATGAACCTTACATAATTCCTAATTATTTATTTTACACGAAATAAATTTGTTCTACAAATAAACGTCATTTCCTCCCAAGATCACAAACAACTTCAACAGATGGCGCCACTAGTTGGACGCACATCAATTAAATAATCGATATTACGAATCAAATGTTGACAAAATAGTCATAACAATGTCTCAAAGAAAATTAATTCATGAAATAACAGTTTATGATTGTGATTATAATGCAAACAGCAAATTTAAATATTTATTATATATTTTTATAATTATTAAACAATGATTGTTGCCCATATGTAAATGTGCCTTAAACTGAATAAGAACACGCCGTCGTCACCTAAGACATAGTTAAAAGATAATAATTTTTAATTTAACAGGAAGTTGAACAAATAGTGCTGATTGGAAACAGGGAATGGATGACACGTAACGGTGTGACTGTCCCCAGGAGGGTGCAACGCGTGTTGAGAGATGACGAGGAATTGGGCAGGACTGCAGTGCTAGTTGCAATTAATGGTGGGTACTGATACGTCAATTAAACGCGGGATCCATAGAACAACAGTTTATTACATACAAGTTGTAGCTACCTACAAACTAACACTAAATAAGAACTAACTACTAATCTACCGACATTACACTTCTCCTCAACAAGCTTATGAAACTAAACTAAACTATACTAAACTATACGGCTTTGTTTGCCCGCTTTAATGCACGCAGTGCTCGAGCGGACATGTCCGGGGACTTTACCTCGTTCGCCTGCGACGGTGAAGGCTCGATCACGGTTGGTGGGGACTGATCAGATGTTAACGAAATAGGCTCATCCCCACTGACTACATCCTCCCCCGTCTCAGCCACGCGACCCTCTTCGACCTCAAGATCGGAATCTTTACCTGGCGGTAAACTTAAACGCGATAAAGAAAATCTCTTTTTTGAAGCTATTAATTGATCGGCATGTCTTCGCCAAATGATCCCGTTACCTTGTGAACCTATTGGGCCCCTCGCCATCTGCTTCTCCTGCCGCTCGCGCACGATTGCGGCGAGGTCTGGTCGCAGAGCGTCCAAACGACTCCGCAAACGCCGCCCTTGCAAAGACATAGCTGGCGAGACGCCTGTGGTGGCGTGTTCGCAATTCCTATATTTAAATAAAAATTTTGTGAGTGCCGTGTTCACATCCTCGTTTTCAAATACAGCCCTTTTAATAGCTTTCTTAACCGTTTTTACAGCATTTTCCGCTGCCCCGTTTCCTTGAGGTCGATAGGGAGCCGATGTCGTGTGTCTTATACAATTATTATCACAAAAAATCTTAAATTCATACGACGAAAATGGTGGACCGTTATCTGTCACGAGTTGCGATGGTAACCCGAACCTTGCAAAAATACCTCTTAAAACCTTAATAGTAGACGAAGCATTGGTATTATTCATTATTTCGACTTCGATCCACTTCGAATGCGCGTCTACAACGATCAAATATCGCTTGCCCTCACAATCTGCAAAATCGGCATGAAGTCGCTGCCACGGGTGTAAGGGAAACTCCCACGGGTGCAGCTGCGCTCGGGGTGGCGCGTCCAGGACAGAACGGCACGCACCGCACTCCCGACACGTATTTTCGATGTCGCGGTCGAGGCTCGCCCAGTACACGTAACCCCGAGATATTGTTTTCATTTTGTTCATCCCGAGATGACCTTCATGAATCTCAGTTAAAACGCGTTTTTGCAAACTCTGAGGGACGACGATCCTATATTTATACACAACACACCCGTGTTCAACACTTAAATCGTGTTTTCTAGAAAAGTATGATTTTTCCTCGTCGCAACTCGGGCCACACGGCCAACCGAATACAACGTAATTTTTAATTTTGCTCAACAGCTTATCTCGTTCGGTCTCTTTGGCTATATCCTTATAAGATATCGGTAATGAATCCGCTATTAAATTCAAATAGTCTAAACATTTTTCGAAGCGACCCTCGCAAGGGAGCGGTAATCGCGACAACGCATCGGCCGGACCGTTGTCCGCCGAACGTACAAATTCAATTTTATAATCGTAAGCGGCCAATCGAGCCGCCCATCTCTGCAGTCGGCTCGCCGCCGTTTGCGGTATACCACCTTTGCTCCCGAAAATATAAGCCAACGGCTGGTGATCAGTACGTAAAATGAAACGCCTCCCAAAAAGATATTGATGATGTTTAGTGACCCCGTAAATAATGGCGAGCGCTTCCTTATCGAGCTGGCTGTAGTTGCGTTCGGCAACGTTAAGCGTGCGTGACACACAGCTCACGGGCCGCTCGGCGCCTCCCGGGTAGCGATGCGCCAGCACGGCGCCCAACCCGTATGCGCTGCTGTCTACTGACAGTACCAAGTCGCGTCCCTCTTCGTAATGTGCTAACACCCGCTCGCTTAAGAGAGATCGCTTCGCATTTACAAAGGCATCCCTACAACTAGCGTCCCATTTCCATGAAACATTTTTTTTTAACAAATTGTGTAACGGGTGTAACAAAGAGCTTAAATTGACAATAAATCTTCCATAATAGTTTAACATACCTAAAAAACTTTTAAGCTGAGACACATTCGTTGGTGTCGGTGCATTCGAAATAGCACTCAACTTATCCGGGTCCGGTTGCAATCCGTCCTTATTAATAATAAAACCTAAGTACTTAACACTATCTTGCAAAAATTTACATTTATTAAGTTTAACGGTGAGTCCCATACCGCGCAACCGTTCGAGTACCGCTCTGACGTTACGAATGTGTTCCGTTTTACTAGAACCCGTGACGCAGATGTCATCTAAGAAAACAACGCATCCATCGACACCGCGCAACGTTTCCTCCATCAACTTTTGAAATTTCTCCGGTATACAAGACAGACCGTATGGTGTGCGACGGTACGCGAACGTCCCTATGTGGGTGGTTATCGCGGTAACGGCTTGAGAATCCTCAGATAGCAAACATTGTTCGTATGCATGAGATAAATCGATTTTAGTATATTGAATACCTCCCTTTAAGCAAGCGAATAACTCATCTATACGAGGTAGCGGATAAAAGTCTCGTTTTAATTTAGGATTTATCGTTATCTTATAGTCCCCACAAATACGTATGTCTCCATTCTTTTTTACCACGGGAACAATCGGAGTCCCATAGTCCGAATATTCTACGCGATAGATGGAGCCGTCTGCCTCGAGTCGGGCTAACTCGCGTTCGACTCTCACGCGCAACGCGAGCGGTACGGGTCTCGCTCGCACGTAAACCGGTTCGTTATCGCACAGGCGTAATTGAATTGAGTTCTTGCAAGTACCTAGCTTGTCACAGAAAACCTCAGGATATTCTTTCTGCAATTTATTTACAAATGAGTCGTCTAAGATTTTATTTAGTTCAATTTGAGAAATATTTAATGCGCGCATCCAGTCACGCCCTAGCAAAGGACGGGCACCTCCTTTTATAATATATAAAGGCAATGACTTAACTTTCGTACCCCCTAACTGTACGTCTACTTCAATATATCCTAGAGACTCAATTCGAGATCCCGAGTAGGAACGCAACATTAAATTATCAGATACAACTGACTTATGTAAAAACATTACTCTATAGGTATCCTCATTTATCGCCGATATACGGCTGCCCGTATCGACTTCACAACGAATAACATATTTATCTACTGTCACATTAACAAAATAAGGTTGGTTACCTTTAGACGACACTTGTAGATTAAATAAACCCTCGTCCGACTCTTCGAACACGAAATTATGCCGACCGCCACTGCACTTACACATCACTTTTAAGTGGCCCCGCTGGCCACACTGATCACAATTGTAGTGCTTGAACCTACACTTATCTGGAGCATGCGCCTTTCCGCAGCGCCAGCACGGGCGCGCACCCTGGCCTAAAGCCGGTTCGCCGCCGTCCTGCCTGCGCGCCGAGTCCCACGCGCCCCGGGCGCCCGTGGATTGCGCGCGCTGTCGCTCCGCGCGACCTCCGCCGCGTCGCGCGTAGTGCAAGCCCTCACTTGCTTCGCCCGTAGTCCCGGATGTCCCCGCCGAAGGCCCGGTGGCCCCGCTCACCTCCGCATGCTTTTCAGCGGCTTCCAATGCGAGCGCTAGTTCCACCGCCTCTTTATAGGTGATTTTCTTTTCAGCAAAAATCCTTGCACGCATTGCGTCATTGGCTAAACCAGATACAAATTGATCCCTTAAGTTTTCCTCCAATGTATTGCAAGATTTGCATTTTCCAAAATTACAATTTGCTGCGAGATGTTTCAGAGATTGTAAATATTGCGTCAACGTTTCGCCCTTGTGTTGCCGCCTTAGTCTAAAAACATGGCGCTCGGCGATTTCTGAGCGTTGTGGTTCTAGATGTTGTGCCACTAGACTTACGAGCTCCTCGTACGTCGTATTTTCAGGAAATCGTGGTGCACAGAGATCACACATCAACGAATACGTTTCTTCGCCAACCACCGTTATTAACATGGGCACTTTTAGTTCGTCCTTGACACCATTTAACTTTATAAACTGATTTACGCGTCGAATATACGCCGGCCATTGCTTAGAATTTATGATAAATGGTTCAATTTTACCGATGGACATCTTGAAATACTAAACTCGCAACAACACAAAATTATGGAAATTCCCGATCTCGTCGCCAATGATACGTCAATTAAACGCGGGATCCATAGAACAACAGTTTATTACATACAAGTTGTAGCTACCTACAAACTAACACTAAATAAGAACTAACTACTAATCTACCGACATTACAGGTACAAGGTTTGATTTCCGGTAACTTTGAAAACTATTTTGCACGTGATGGCATTATGTAAATTAAAAATCGATTAGAGAAAATTTTACGACACGGGCAGGACTTCCGTGCTGTTGCTTTAACCAATTGCGCTGCCGTGTCGTACACGTTATTGTCTAATTTTTTACGTATTGTTAACGGAACTCTCGCGCAATGTCTTTTCAATTTCAAGACTTGCGTGTTAAGGTTCAATCTCTGATGGCTAGAAAAATCTTACTTTACGTAAATAAAGGACTTTTAACGGGTTCAAACGTGAAATATATTAGTTAACTTATTTAAATTTGATTTAACGGCTTGTTTCGGATCCTTTGCAGCAGTCGTAGTCACATCTTATATACTTCGCGTTTTAAACCGTTAAAAGTGTTTTGTGAATGTGTACACCTCTCGTAAAATACAGCCAATACTTAAGATACATTTAGCTATGAATATTATGTACTAGCAAAGATTCTCTTTAAAAAAACTTGACAAGAAACAACTAACTCTACGAATTATAATTCGCGCTTCGCGTAAGATTGAGGGAAAGCTTGAAAAACAAGGCGTAACGCGTTACTAAACAAAACGTGCTTTACTAGCATACAGAATAACTCTAGCTACTTCTAGTACTTAGTACATTATTTTGATTTTCTTTTCAGATCAATTAGTTTGTACAATCGGCGTAGCTGACGAAGTTAAACCAGAGGCGCATTTAGCTGTATACTGTCTCAAGAAAATGGGCTTAGAAGTGTGCTTGCTCACTGGCGATAATAGAAAGACCGCTGTCGCCATAGCCAGACAGGTAAGAACAATGTAACTTATCCTATTAAATTATATTATAGAAAATAGAGGGGGGGGGGGAAGACAAGGATGAGGTCCACTTGATGGTAGGTGGTAGGTAGGTAGATGAATACTCAAGCTATATATCATCTAAATAACATGTACTGTCGACCTATTTGTCCAGTAGTTTGAAAACTTATTATTATATGATGACACTATATAAATTAAAAAATCGATGTCAATAAAATAATACTATCTGTAGTTTACGCGAGTAGTACACATTTACATAACACTTTACGGCAGCAGCCGAAACATCGGGCCGCAGTGAAAAATATTTTTCTCATTCCTTTTTTTTAAACTGTTAAAGTGTTTTTTTTTTAATCTATAATATAAGTAACAAGAGTAGTGCAAAAGCAGGAAACCTTGTAGAAGCTGTTTGAAGACCTGCTCGTATCCTAAAATTAAAACCACTTTTCCGAGAATTGAAAAGAGAACCTCTCATGCATATCATGTACAATACATTTATCGATATATATTTCCAGGTTGGAATCAACAAAGTGTACGCAGAAGTGTTACCATCTCACAAAGTCGCGAAGATACAAAAATTACAAGAAAAGGGACAGAAGGTTGCAATGGTAAGTTAAAATCTTACAAAATAACAAAAATATATATTTATACTAATTTTATAAAGCTATGGAGTTTGTTTGTTTGTTGGTTAGAGCATTTATCGAGGAATGCTTTAGACTATAAGATATCACGTTGCGACTAATTGAAGATAGTGCGATAGATAATACGAGTAGGAAATGTTCATTGTGTGCGTTACGAAAATTATTCAAGATACTCAAAAAAATAAATGTTAATAAAAACGTCCGCGATAGTATATATTTCTATCTTTTAGATAAATTGCAAGGACGACGCGTTGTGGGTAACTATAGTTAAAAATGATGGCCAGGAGGTGTGCAAAAACAAATTTTGACGCCCAAAATAACTATTCCACGCGGACGAAGTCGTTGACATAGCTAGTGTAAAAATATACTTAGTACTACATATTACACTAAGTTACACAACACGAATTTCTACAATACCGCTCGCTAATAAACCAACGTAATAATTAATAAACAAATATATTTTAATTTTCTCAGGTCGGTGATGGAGTGAACGACTCACCTGCGCTGGCGCAGGCTGATGTCGGTATTGCCATAGCTAGTGGTACAGATGTCGCTGTTGAAGCTGCTGATCTCGTGCTCATGAGGGTATTTAAATATTTTTTACGAGTACTATTAAAAATTTGCCGCCTCTATATTCCGGGGAAACTGTCGGTTAAACTACGTCGTCTAACGTGTTTCTAAAGGTCTCTATAAGTTTTCTAGTACTTGTTAAGCTTTTTGGGAAACATATTGAAATTAGCTTTTATTTTATTTTTATAGTTATGTCTTAAATAAACGTTTCCAGAACGATCTCTTAGATGTAGTGGCGTGTTTAGACCTATCAAGAACGACAGTAAGAAGAATCCGACTCAACTTTATATTCGCGAGTGTATACAACTTGCTGGGAATTCCTTTAGCGAGCGGTGCGTTCGCTCTTCTTGGACTACAGTTGCAGGTGAGTGAAAGAGATAGCAAAAGTGATAGAGAGGGGCAGATGTAGGGCTTAGCTGCTTAGTATTAAACAAGTATTTTAGATTTGGAAATTGATTTAATATGGGACCATATTTATCTAATTTAATATAAAAAATGGAAATATTCAAATACTTAGTTGTTTAGTCACACGTCACGGAGTTAATTGTCTCAAATATCTTCGGACGTGTTAAATATTTAAATGCCGATTCAATATTTATAAGAAAATTTAATAACCCTCGTGCCTGGGAGATCACATTAAGTCGTCACCACTTATTAAGTGGCGGTAGTTGTTCAAAACTGCCTACCCACAGTGGAAGAGCGTTGTCGATTGAAGCTTTTAAACCGCAGCTTATACCCAGCTGTGGGACTTTACGTTATATTTTCCTCACTGAGACTTATTTCCTTTTCAGCCCTGGATGGCGTCAGCTGCTATGGCGATGAGTTCTGTGTCAGTCGTTTGCTCCAGTTTGTTACTTAAGACGTAAGGAAACGTACAATACTAAATATACCATACCATAAACATTTAAAAGTCTACATATATATAAAAAATCTATTTAGATTGACTAAAAAGTGACCATTAAAAGTTAAACTACCCCCGATACATTGTAAGTTTTTTCCAGTTTCAGTAAACCAAATGTAGAGGATCTCCGTACGACGGAGTACCTGCAATCTATACATTTGGAAGAGTTGGACTCAGTGTCTGTACATCGCGGCTTAGACGACAAAGTGTACCCGGACACGAGAGCCTCGCCACTTGCAAAGTTAGTATTTAAATATGGAATAAAACAAACATTCTCTTATACTCCAATTTTTCTAGAGAGATTAAGCATCACACTAAACGTTGTACAGTACCATATCGGCCCGTTTTTGCAAAATTTCAATTCTTCGATTAGTTGAGCAACGTGCCATCTCATGTCGAGAACCATATTTCAATTACGACAGCCGAATTTTTCTAACTAACAGTTTTCTTAACGTGTCTTAGTTATTATCTAGAATTTCGTTAAGCAATAGAGGTCGTGGATTCTATTCCCGACGAAACAATAGTTACGGTCGGAGAAAGTTTTATTTACTTCCTTCCTCTAAATAAAAAATATAAGTGAAACGCACACAAATGTGTCTTCTCGATAACTTATATCAAGAATTACTACTTTATTTTAGGTAGTATGCTTTGTAAATAACCAAAAACACATATGAGAACTAACATAATTGAAAGGACTTACAAATTTAAAAAAAGATAATCAAACAAACAAACAAATATTCTTTTAAATAAAACACTTTTATCTGGATTTAAACGCGTACTATTTGTAGTGGTGGTTAACCGCCCCCAAAGTCAATATAGGATACACTAGCGCCATCTGTTTCTTGAATTTGGTCAATTCAACCATTAAAAGTGTTTTATTTAATATTTACTCCTCGAATTAACTACACACAATACTTAAGTAACTATTTACACATATGTACTAATTGATATTTTATATACGTATTTAGTTTATCTCTCACTCACACAATATTTTGTTTCACTCCAGCAAAAGGCGGGACTCGTTGAAAACAGCGCTATTAAAGGTCTAGCCGTTTTTGGTGTGTTTTTGACTAATTTATTTTTTTTGTTTGTGCGTGTTCTACGGTGATGGCTCTAAAAGGCTTTCTGTGTTTGAAATAAGAAATATTTACCGTCACAGTTAAGATTTTTTTTTATGACATTTCTTCAACTGAACTGTTCTTTCGTGCCAGGCTTGGTCATAATATTATTTATCATTGAGTTTTTTTATACACTTGCTTTGTTTTGTTTTTGTGATGTTTTTTTTTTTGTTAGTTTATAAACACAACCTTGTTATAAGATTTCAACTTAAGTGATACAGTATTCATACATCATGGACTTCCAATGGGCTATTTGACTGATTTTTAAAATGTACTTTATATTATTTGGTAGATATTAAGGAATCCCAGAAAAGTATTTTTCAATTCTGATATATACTAGCTAAAAATCCATCATTTAAAATGTGCGCCTAAACACGCGACGTGCGAGTTACGACCTTGAATTGGCCATTGGTGTTTGTCGATCAAATGATCTACAATCTAAATGTATTTATTAATAAAGCAGAGAATATAACAGTTTCAATACTAGCTGTTTGTAGCACTGTTTATAAGCAAGTGACGTCATCATAAACCCGACCAATCAGGAGAGTTTTGTGTCACGTGACGAATGTTTAAAAAGTAACTTTAGTTTGCGCCTTTTTAATTAAATCAAGTATAATTTTTAACGTATGTGACTGTTTTACTTTTATAAAGTTATACGCGTAGTCAAATAGCCCATATTTACAAAGTTACCACCAAGAGTCTACAAAGTAAATGATATATTATTTTGTAACTAGTCTAAAATACATTGCTTAACCTGTATACAGATTATTTCAAAGAAACAAGCCGACGGAGGGTTGCCTATTGCAAGAAGAGGACGACATGATGACTGTTTCGTTCATACCAAAGAGGCCGACGCGGGAGCAGCCAAGCATTAATAAGTGACCAGTTGCAGATCAGATGTTCTGGATATAACTTAGCATCAAAAGTCAAAGGAGACGGATGTACTAGGGTTCAAAATGAATTCTATTTTTAATCAATTTGACTTTTATCATTAAATACTGTGTAGCTCACGCGAGTAGTAGACATTTAAATAAAACCTTTTAACGGTTTCAAACGCGAAATATATTAATTAAACCTATTTTATAATTATTTTAATTACAGCTCAACGTTTCGGATGCTTTGTAGCAGCCGTTGGTCTCCCCGTGGCTAAGCGTTTTAAACCGTTACTGTTTTATTTAAGTTTTAACATGAAATTTGAGCCGGTGTAAAAGAGACGTTATTTTTGCATTTGCATTTTAATTTAAAAAAGTAATTAAATAAGTTTTCTTAGTTCTACTTAATTTTATAACGTGAAACGTAGAAATTCTATTCAAGTATCAAACCGTTAAAAATGGTCTTATTTAAATGTTACGCGTTTACTACAATTTAAAGCCCAAATAGACATCCAGTCTCTTTTTTATCTGGAAAGAAGTGCGTTCTTTCCAGATAAAAAGGAGGTTTTAATTATATAAGTTATGAACGAGTCCCACTTAATATAAAGACTCGCCTGTATATAAGGTACTAGTCAAGCCTCGAACCAGTGTTACCATGTTTAAAGCAAAAGATATCGAGGTCAATATTTTCGCGTGTCTTGTCCAGAGCATGTTTACCCATAAATTCGGCGCCATGTTGTAATCTAACGCCATAGCTATAACACAGTTACCAGATTTTGTACAAATGAAATACAGACTGCTAAATGATGTATGCACAAAATAGCTTACGCTTGTTAAAAAAATGATTTCTCGTAAAAGCCATTAAGCTTTAGACATTACGATTACATGAGGAAGGATACTTCTAAGTCCTTTTCTGACAAGGGCGCAAGACTTAACCTACCGTCTTTTATCTTGCTAGAAGAAAACAGATTGTATTATGTTTAGAGGCTTTTTAAAGATCGTGTCACAAAACGTCGCCTTTATAATTAATTTTTAATGATATATTTTTATCGAATATACTAATTGTTTGCTAGGTTTTATTCCATTTTTGAAATTATTTAACAAATTCGAATTATTATCATAATTATAATTTATATGACTACCCTCTTTTTTAACGTGCAACGTGTATTGGATGATATTGTGTTTGGCAACTGTAACTGTTCCTCATAGTTAACTTCTGAAGACTCTGTAATCAATATTATACTCGTTTACCGCTTTACTTGTGTTATTTGTAAATAAAGTGCATACGCAAGTATTATATTTTTGTACTGATAGTTGGTAAATAAGTTTACTTTATAAAACATTTTATTAATCTTCATGTTTGTTTTATTGAAAATTAGGTGTTTAAAATCCGAGCTGTTCTGGGTCTCTTCGGAATATTATAGATGATAATGTCTTATTGGATAACTGAGGAACGGAGAGGGGCAAGGGCCTCCTAATTGGTAGAAAACCGGTGCTTGAGTCGATATGAAATTCGAATGATGCTAACGGAGAGGAATAACGTAAATGGGCAGTCATACATACGGCTTATGTTGGTATAATAAACCTCTTTATAGAGAGGAATAATGCATAAAACATAGTATAAAATAGAAGAATCTCGTATATTATGGCAAAATAATGCCATTTGATTAGGCAATATGCTCATTTTGCTATATAGTTCTGATTGTGAACGATGAGCAGGCAGACATAGTTATTAGACTGACTTTAAAAAGGTGCACTATATTATTTGGTAGATCTTAAGAACCCGAAATAACGCTACAATACGGCTAGTGACGTCAGGACCTTGTTATTGGCCTTTGGTGTATATCGACCTATAGATCTACAATCTACACGTATTTGTACCAAACATTTACACTTTAACAGTGATTAAAGTAAAAAAAAGAGTTACAAATTTATTTATTTTTAATGCAGAGAAAACAGCTTTAACGCCAGAAAGCATTTATTATAAACCTATATTTGATACTGATAACAGTGATTGACGCTATATTTTTTGCATTGTAAAATAGCTCATTAAACTACAATAATTAATGAAGTCTTTTAAATAGACATACTGTGTACAAAGTTACAAACGTCAAACTCGACATTGACAGTTGACAATAAAATATTTATTTTGAAATGAGCCAGGATCATTTTTAATATCGGATTGAATAAATCTATTTAAATATTGTTAAAAATGTTTATAAATAAGTTTCGGCTCGCCATAGGGGCTGCGACATGCAGTCCATTGAAAAATAATATTAATAAATTTTCAGTAAACACGTAAGTTTGTTTGTACATTTCGTGCAGTTTCCTTACCTTTCCATTTGTAACATCCTGTTAAACAATTTGAGAATATGAAATACGTATTTTCAGCGTATCACGCCACAAAGCGGCGTATGATGGTGATGGTAAAACAACAGTACGTATTATCAATCAAGATCCAAATATTGGGCTCATCATAGATTCGTACGGAACGGTAAGTGTTTTTCACAACTCTGCGTGACTTTCTAAAAATATACTTCGTTATAAATATTATAACTTAATACTATAACTAAAAATAATAATAATACTCCGCTGCTGCAGCAACCTAAAGTGAGTCTTGGCCCCTGAAACTAAACTAGCACCATTTTCTCTAAACTTGTGCGGTTATTATTATTATTTTCTGCCGGGGACACCAGTAGAAGGCCAGGTGATCGGTCTGCACCATCAGTTGTTCAACAATTTTCCCTGTGCAGAGGTTTTTGGGTTATCCAACTGTCACCATGTCCCATTTAAACCTTCCGTTGCAGATCTTGTTCGGTTGTTTAGTGTTTTAAATATATATATATATAATAACTTTAACACGATACAGACAACAACTACAACAAAACAGCTCTACTTATTTTATATTATTATAATTAATTTCAGTTTGGATTTCGTCTGAACAATGGTCTCACTGTGGTAGGCCCAATGGCAATATTTCCCCGGTAAAAATCTAAATATATTAGTACTAGTTATAACAATTGACTAGATGTATACTTTTGAACCATAATTGAGATAATGGGAAAAATAATTTCTTATATAATAGTTTAGCTTTATAAAATTAGAAAAGGAATCACAACAAAATAGCTGAATGTCTTAAAAAATAATATGGTGTCACAACTAAAATACTTGCAGTTACTCTAAGCATTTTATCTAAATTCATGTCTAATTTCCAGAACTGTCCTATCATGGCAGGTGCATAACTCAGATGAAATTACAGCAGAATCACTAACATTATTCAAACTACTCGAGCCAAAAATCGATTTACTGGTAAGGAAAGAGTAAATTGTTCATACCATTGTTTGCACTTGGACTTGGTCAGCAATGGCATGGAATATGGATAAGCTGGCTGGGCACAAAATTATTATGGGTTTCTACACCTCTCTTTCTAAGGATATGTGAACTTGAATTAATACAAATTGCATTTTTCAGGTAATAGGCTTAGAGTCCAGTGAACGGAAAGTTCTAAACTCAGTGTTTAAAGCAAGTCGAGAAGTTAAGTTAAACGTAGAAATACTACCAACTGAGCATGCTTGTTCCACATTTAATTTCCTTAACTCAGAGGGCAGGTAATTATGACATGTATAAAAGTAATAAGGCTATAAGTAACACCATCAAATCCTTACTAATATTATAAATGCGAAAGTAACTCTGTCTGTCTCTCTGTCCGGCTTTAATTCTGAACTGATTTAAATGAAATTTGGTACACAGATATTTTAGAGCCTGAGAAAGGACATGGGCTTTTTATTGCCAAATAAGGGTTGATAGGGTTGAAAAAGGGATGAAAGTTTGTATGGAAATTCGTGTTTTTTTAAGCTAGAACATTGAATGACTTTCTTCTTTGGCTTTTTTGGAAATAGGAGTAGGAATGAGAGTGGGAGTTAAAGTAGGAGCGATGTAAGGTGAGAGTGTTGCGGCAAAGTAGCACTTACAACGTAGATTGGCTGCGATGAATGTGCCCTTATATAAATTAATAAACAGCCTGATTAATAAAAAATTCTAGCCCAAGTCACTATTCCACGCAACGAAGTCGCGGGTACAGCTAGTATGTACATACATCAGTAAACTAACTGATTTTACCAATTTTGATACAGTAGAACCTCGATAAGTCAACAAACTCCACATCTGAGATAAAATTTTGTGTTGTCTTCCATTTAAACACCAAAACCTCCGTTATTCGAAATCTCAACCCTCTATTAGTCGAAATAATGAGTGAGTCCCTCCAAGCCAATGCGGTACATATATTCCCTCCATAACTCGAAAAATTATTTTACCTCTGCATGTTGAAAATAGCAACGTCTTATTTTACAACGAAACACACTTTAAGTCGAAAACTCTACAACTCGAATTTTTTGGCGTCTCCCTTGATATTCGACTTATAAAGGTTCTACTGTCTTTATTAAATTTACTATAGATTATAATAATAACACTTTAAATACTGTATGTACTGTGTAGTACACATTTAAATAAAACAAAATAAAAATATTTGAAAATTATTTTAACTACGGTGTGATTGGCCGTTTTGGATTCTTTGCTTTGCCCGGTCAGTTTCGCCAAATACCAACTGCGTTGGAACAGATGGCGCTAGCGTAGCAGTTTTTTTTACTTTGACATTAGAAACACCCTCCATCTTTAGTATCTCCGTGACAACGGCTGCTGCAAAGCATCCGAAACGTCGGGCTGTAGTTAAAATAAAAAATAAATGCAACTAAAACTTTTAGATACTGTATATTTTATTATAATATTACAATTCACAGGTCGGTAGCCGCAGCATTGATTCCACCTCTTCATATTAATATAAATGAAGATGATATGCTTGCAAGCCAACTGCATTACAGCAAATTGTATAACAGACAGGAGGAATTATAATTTATAAGCAAAAGGTTTGCCGGCTCAATGATTTTTACCAAATTTTGGTGAATCTGATTTAAGTAGGACTCTAAAAGATGTTCTTATTGTAGTTAGCTATTGAATTTTTAGTTAAAATGTAAATAATAGATTATTTTTTGTTGAATAAAAAGTGAAGGTGCGTTTTGACTATTACTGATTGACATTAACATTTTTTTTTCAATTTATAATCGATTTTTAATTTATATAGTGTCAACATGGAAAAAATATTAGACTTTTCAAACTGAAATAAAAAAAGGTTGAAAAAATCCGGCGATGACGTTTAGCTCAATTGGTTAGAGAAACAGCACGGAACGCTTCGGATGCCGGCTCAAGCCCTGTCCGAGTTGTAAATTGTTTTAATTTATAATCGATTTTAGTTTATTTTTTCAAGTCAGATTGTAAAAGCTCCCTATACCCTTTTTTATATTTTGTCGCGCTTAGCACATAGGTCATTTTCAAACTATAGAACTTATTTATATTAAACCTTCAGTGATACTAAGAAATGGGAAAACCCAACTTTGACTTTGTTAGCCGAGTTGATCGATGTCTGGGGAGCGAAGAACACTATCCCATTTGGAATACATTGCTATATAAACAAGATGCGCTTACGGCCTGTTTTGGCCTTGGATATTCGTTAATCCACAGACTGAACCCGAAACATAATTAAACTTGACGGCACTTTCATCTGTGGACGGAATTTCGATATTTCCACCCTCGATCCATTGTTTATTAGCCATACATCGCTAATATTACACCGATGACCATAGATGGAAAATGTCCAAGTTACCAACTAAATCTTGTTTCAATAAACACTTTAACGGTTTAAAACGCGATATATTAGTTAAACTTATTTGAAAATGATTTTTAACTTCGGCCCAAGGTTCGGATGCAGCAGCCGTGGTCACGGTGGTCTCCCCGTGATCACGTCGTTTCTACTAAGTTTAACTAATATATCGCGTTTTAAATCGTTAAAGTGTTTTATTTAAATGTGTACTACTCGCGTAAACTATAGACAGTATTTAACTAAATCGTGACCAATGAGATTTTATGTCTCCATATTGCGATTAAAACTCAAATGAATTTGGAAGAAATTTACGTAACGTTAAGGGGTAACAGCGATGGTGAATCTGTCCATTTCAACGTCATATTAAAATGGTTTAAGGAGTGCAAAATCATTGACGGTAGGATTATAACCGAGGGCTTCTTTGTGAAGTCCTATGAGCGACTGTGTCCGAACCACGAGGGCTTATCGCTGGTCCAATTTATCCAGCTCTTCGGCATCTTGTCCAGAGAGTCCAGGACGGATATAGATGTATATTGTAATTTATTTAAATCGGTTCGAGACGATGTGATTCGAGATATACGAAATACGCAATGAGGTCTGGAAAATCTAGCTTAATGCTTAAATAACACACTTTTAGTGGTTTAAAACGCGAAATATATATGTTGACTTATTAACTATGGTCCAACGTTTCGGCTGTATTGCGGCTTCAATAAAACAATTTAAAATAAGTGCAGCATAATATATTTCGCGTTTTAAACCATCAATTGTTTTTATGTGTACTACTCTGTGTAGTCTGCAGACAATATTGTAATGTTATTAAGAAATCACGGAATAAAATAGAGTATTCTTTTCAACAACTTTATTAACTTAATTCTACAATCACAGTGTTATTCTTATTAATAAATAATTTCTAAATTCACTAATACAAGTGCGACGTCCAGTTGAGACAACTTTTAATGGACAAAACTTAACTTCAACGTGTTTAAAACCGGGGAAGAAATAATTATTGTATTTAACTGACTGCGCAGATATAAATAGCGTTTTCTTGTTTTTTTTTTCATATACCTAATCTCAAACAGAATAAGAATTACTTCCATTTGCTAGTTCCGAGTATAGAGAGCTCTATGGATACAAGTTGTAAATCTTCTTTGGTAAGTAAACCTATGGTTGATTAATTAAGTGTTTTAATACTATAGCCATTTTCACTTATTTTTATCATTGTGAACAAACTTTGAACTATGCAGCATCGTTGGGTGCCTGTTGTTGTAATAGTTCCCAATATAGGCCTCTCCTTTTCACTAATTCTTCGTGGGATCCACTTTCAGCTACGGCACCTGTGAAAATGTCAGTGAAATTTTTAGACAGCGAAGAACTCAAATTTTAAAGAATTTGTATATATTTAAAATATTTTTAGCTAATTTGTATCTTATTTCAAAAGCTATAAACAAAAAATAGTACAAGATAATTTTCTGTGTATCAATAATAAAAGAACCTTAGGATATAATAGTTAAAAAAGATTCAGATTGCCTGGAAGAGATCGCCGCTGAGCGATAAGGCCTTTTATTTATTAATAAGAACGTAAGATCTTTTCTCTTTTTGTTGTGTGGGGTATTATAAATAATTGAGATAATAGTAATGAAAAATATGCATCTTAGAAAGATTGAATCGCACAGACAGTACTCAAACAAAAAAATGAACAAAATATTGTTAACAAGAAAAAGCATGGAAAAGTTTTAAATGAAGCAGAAAAAAAACGGAATAATACCTTTATCCACAACACAGATTATATCTGCATGCCTAATTGTTGCGAGTCTGTGGGCTATTATGACCGTGGTGCGACCACGAGACGCTGTTTCTAAAGCTGCTTGTACTACCTGGAACAACAATTTTTTTACACATTTTCTTTATGACAGAGGAGGACAGCAAGGGATTCACTTGATGGTAGGTGAAATGCTCCACAAACAATCTAGACAAGATGTTTAAATAAAACATTTTAACGGTTTAAAACGCCTCAAAAATGTTAAACAGACCACGGCTGTTGCAAAGCATCCCAGACGTCGAGCCGTAGTTAAAATAATTTACAAACAAGTTGAACTAATTAAACATTTAAAGTGTTGTATTTAAATGTGTACTATTCGCGTAAACTACAGACAATATATACAAGATGTGTTGTCGACGTATTGTAGCTTTGGATATTTTTTTCTTTTTCGATTGCATAAACGTTGAATTATCACCGTAAATTTGTACCCTTAGACAACAATAGGAGGTTACAAACCTTTTCGCTAGCAGCATCTAACGCCGAAGTAGCCTCATCCAGCAACAAGACCCTCGGATCTCGGACTAACGCGCGGGCTATAGCAACCCGTTGCTTCTGGCCACCAGAGAGCGCTGCGCTTCCCGCTTCTAGCACTGTGTCGTATCCCTGGTTAATGAAGAACAATTTAATATTCGAAGTCAACGTTATTAAATTAATCTAGACAATGTGAGTGTTGTTTTTTAAATTCCATAATATGGTAATATTACTTCATAAGTTTAAGGTTTAAATAAAACACTTTAACGGTTTAAAACGCGATATATTAGTTAAACTTATTTGAAAATCATTTTCAAATAAGTTTGACTAATATAGAAAAATATGTTTGAAAGGTGATAGCTCTATATGTGATCTTAAACAGTGTTCATGACTCTATCGACCTTATTCCAAAACATACTTAAACCTGAACCGCGGAGTCTTGGTTTAACTCTTAAACCATGGCCTAAATAAATCTAAGTAAACGTTAAACTTCGTTTTGTAATATGTACTGATTTCAAATAAACCAGGGCCTAAATCAGGTTTTTTGTAAGTCCTTGTTTTATAGTAAGAGTGCATTTCTATCTTTTAAGGTTTACTTGCAAGAACTACGTAAAACGACCGACGTCGCGGGTAAAGCTTAAATGTATAAAGATAAACCTCCTCGGTTTGCAAAAACTAATTCTCATTCCCAAAATAACTGTTCTACGCGGACGAACTGACACAGCTAGTACTTCAGATGACAAAATATTGTTTGCCAGGACAGCTAATAATTATATACATGGCTCTATCAGTTATATTTTTTTAACTTCTATTAAAATGCTGAGTTCTACTCACCAGGGGCAAACTAGCAACGAATCCATGTACATTGGCCTTCGTAGCCGCATCAATAATCTCGTCCATGCCAACTTCTCTCCCGTTGTCGCCATAAGCAATATTGTCTCGTATTGACCGCTCAAACATAACTGGCTCTTGTTGGACCAGACCCAGTTGTGCGCGGAGACGAGGTAGAGTCAGCCTCGATTTAATATTTCGGCCGTCGAGGGTCTGAATTCAATTTAGAATACTAGTTATTTAAAGTTTCTTTTAAATAAACCACTTTAACCGTTTAAAACGCGGTGTATACGCGGCCCGACGTTTCGAATGCTTTGAAACGTCGAACCTTAGTTAAAATAATTTTCAAATAAATTTAACTAATATATAATACATCGCTTTTTTTGTTTAAATGTCGCGTTCGAAATTAAATATTCATTTTGTTTTGGTGGTTTTATTATTTTCCTTGTGTACGTAAAGTTTCAATTTTCTATTAATTTATATTTATATAAATTTCAAATTATGTACTTAATATATTGGGATATTGTATATACGAAAAGATATTTACCACACATCCGTTTTCTGGATCATAACTCCTCAAGATCAGGTGCATAATGGTACTCTTACCACAACCCGAGGGACCCACTAGGGCCACAGTGCGACCGGCTGGGACTTCCAAATTGAGGCCTCGTAAAACGGGCTGGTGGAGCCTTGTGGGATATTTGAAGTGAACGTTGGAAAAGCTAATGTTTCCTGATGAGACCTGAAACAAATTATCATCATACTTAAACGCTATACATTTATATTTTGGCAATTTTATTATGTACTACAAAAAATCAGTGCAGAATTTACATGTTACTCAAAATATTTGTTATATAGTATACTATACTATAGTTTTAAGTTCATAAAAACAATAGCAAATTAAAAAAATTGAAGACTAGTATTTTTCCACATGATGGCACTATATAAATTAAAAATCGATTACAGATTGTGTACATATGTTACGCGACCTGCTACTAGATGGCGCTACGCGAAATATGGATCGTTGTTAGATCGCACTAACTGAATACCAATATACTTAAAACAAGTTTTTCTTTATTAAAATCAACCCCCTCGGGGCACCCTTGGTCTAGCCGCAAACACGGCGCCCAAACGCCCGGTTAGTATTCGAGGTCCCGTCGCGACTGAATACGTAAGATCCATTAAAAAAAAAATCAATACTAATGTAATATATTGTTTTATTACTTAAGTATACCTCTGCTTTTCAATTAAAATACGTCTCTAATTTGTACAGATTGAAAAAATTAGGACACGGGCTAGTGTTGCCCAAATTCAGTCTTGGTCTTGCAGTCTTGGTCTTGTTCTTGCGTTTTTGCAAGACCAAGAACAAGACCGCGTATTTTTAGCAAGACCAAGACCAAGACTGACCGTGCAAGACTTGAGCAAGAACAAGACATAGCCTGCAAGACTCTTGCGTCTTGCAGCTAGGACTTAGCGCTATTTCACTGAGTAGTTAGGTGTAACAGTTCGGTGTATAGGTAGTTACGCTTAGGAATTCTATGAGACGCAAAAAACTGTATCAAAGAATATGAAAAACTGGACCTATGCGCATTACGACTAATACCATAAACATAGCGAATAAAAAAATTATTAAAATCAAACTGAGTGCATGCATAGTTATGTTTTAACCATCGGCACTTTGATAATGCGGCATCAAAGGTTTTGTACTTACTTCTCAAAGAAATTTGCCGCTTTTCGGAAGTACATGGTTATGATACACGCGCCGGCGGCTTCTTTTGAAATCTAAAACAATCGTTGCCGCCACGCCGAAATCATAACATTTGACACTATTTGATTGCCGCCATAGGGCGAAGGTATACTCATGCAAAATAATTTCGAATTTTTTTACACGCTTTATATTATTGTTTGATTTGCGGCGGCATCCTTATCATAGAGCCGGCACGTGGCGAGGCGGCGCGGTAGAAAGCAAGGAAACGTACTATAAACAAAGGAATTATTTTAATTCCAGTCATTTCCAATTGAGCTGTGCTTCGAGTCTAACTTAATAATTGTTTTTACTAATTCTCGTTGTTTTCTAAAAACGTATCACGTGTACAATTTCATATGAGCGACGAAGATTCAAATTATTCTAGTCCGAGTAACGAGAGTTTGAGTTTTAGCAAATGTAAGCTTATAAATCATAAATGTTTATTAAGAAGCAGTTACTTCCATGGAAAACGACATATAGGTCAGTTGATTTTTCGAACTTCTTATCAAATCAGTTAATTATTAATCTGCTTGATCTTTACTATGGCTATATTCATTCAAGCTCACTATGTTCCAATTCTAATACGTTTTTCTAGGATTTAAAGTAAACTTTAATAAATAGTAATAGACTAATAGGTAATTGCAAGACTTGCAAGACTTGCAAGACTCTTGCTGCAAGACCAAGACTGGGAGCGCAAGACCAAGACCAAGACCAAGACCAGGTGTATTGGCGCAAGACCAAGACCAAGACTGGCTAAGTCTCGTCTTGTTCTTGCGTTTGGGCAACACTAACACGGGCAGGCCTTGAACCGGCATTTACAGCGTTCCGTGCTGTTGCTCTAACCAAATGAGCTGCCGAGTCCTACAGGTCATGGTCGATTTTTTCAACCTCCAACCCCTCGTGGGCCATGGGGCGAACACATTTCTGTGTTCGTTTCACTGATCCGTTTTTTAACTTTAACAGGCAAATATTTGATCAGACTTTTGTGCCCTACCCGACCGGAACAACTTATTTTTTTTCGTTCCCTTGGGATTCAAACCCAGGACCTCTCGCGCTTAACGCAATCCTAAGCAATATGTTTAACCATTTGGCTACTGAGGAGGTCAAAATATTAATACGATAATGACTAGATACAAGTAAAATGACTTAATACTTTTTCTATCTGAACATTCACTATTAAAATTTTCATTCTTTTCAGTAACTAGTTGCTCACCCAATTCGGTTCATCCGAGCATTCGCTTATAACGCGCGGCGTTCGGTGCAACGCACGCAGAACGCGTCCACCAGCTCTTTGCGCAGCAGCAAAGCTTGGGGCGAACGACAACGCCTCCGCCAGCATCCAAGCTCCATAAATCAATGCTTCTGATACTCTGTATTAATATTACAATCACTATAAGTATACTACTATACTACTACTCTACTAATTATACTCGTTTCCCCCCTTTCGGGGGCGAAAAACTGAATCCGTTTCACTAATCAATTTTATTTACAAGCAACGATCCTCCTATCCTGTAAAAAGAGATTTTCGATTCAGATCTCAGGACCTTTTAAATGTTAAACGCAATGGTCACGGACGTAGTTTATAGTCCACTAATATATTTCGCATTTAAACCGTTAAAAATGTTTTATTTGAAAGATTTAGATTTTTTATAAAAACGAGTTCCATACATAAAATAATAATTGTCTCTTAAAAATATTCTTAAAGGTTAATCATATCCTTTCTCGTTTAGCTAAAATTTATTTAATTACTTCAAAGTCTGTATGTTTATTTTAAAGTTATAGGATCAACACTATATTTATAACTACTTAGACAATATTATTTTTTATATACTTGCTATGGTTTTTCCTAAATTTCATTACTTTGACAAGAGATTGTAAAAAAATACTTACAATATAACATATTCATAGGGCAATCCTTCTCTAGCGATCAGATAACCACCGCTGGCGAGAGACAGTGCGTATCCCAATGTAGGAGCACACAGACATAGGCCGTACACCAATCCGCGAATGTGGCGGCTTACACCCGCTCGCTTGTCTGCTTCGATGAGAGCTTGCTCGTACTTGTTTAGGAGGGCTTGTTCTACACCTGAGGGTAGTTAAATATTTTCTATTATATCACTTATACATCAATTGAATTTTTAAATTACTTTTAACGGTTAAAAACGCGAAATGTATTAGTAAATTTATATACATTGTATTCCAATACAGCCCGACGTTTCGAACGCATCAGCCATGGTCACGGGAGGACTGCAAAGTATCCGCAACGTAAGGCCATAGTTCAAGTAAATTGTAAATAAGTTAAGCAATACATATTGCGTATAAAACCGTTAAAAGTGTTTTATTTAAATCAGTATTACTTGCGTTAACTACAGCCAATACTTTTAACGATATTTTATCAATATTTAAGAAACGATTAGGAATTTTTAATTTACACAAAGAAAACTTCTAGAAATTAATGTTTTGTAACTTACCGAGACTATGGACCGTTCTCACATTGAGTACTGCTTCCGTAGCAAGCCTCGAAGCCTCCTCCAAAGCCTCTTGCTCCTTCACTTCCGATTTTTTGTTCACCCAGCCTTCAAGGCAGATACCACCTATGACCTGTTTAAATTAATCAATAAAGACTTATATAAAAAACATGTCAGTTGCTCCCAATCGGGTTTAACGTTTTTTCTAATCAAGTAGTGTTTTCGCGAGTAGTACACATTTAAATAAAACACTTTAACGCCTCCGGCATTTTACCGGCAAACGCGAAGACACCGTTAGTCAATTCTGCAAGGACCCGGCCAGTTTCGCCAAATACCAACTTCGACGGAACAGATGGCGCTAGCGTAGCAACTTTTTACTTTGACGTCAGAGGCATCCTCCATCTTTAGTCTCCCCGTGACCACGGCTGCTGCAAAGCATCCGAAACGTCGGGCCGAAGTTCGTCATTTCCAAATAAGTTTAACTAATATATCGCGTTTTAAACCGTTAAAGTGTTTTATTTAAATGTTTTTGTAATCAATTTACATTTTTTCAGAAACATGTTGGGCTTCGTTTGGCAATCTGGATATTATAGATAATTAAAATGCGCGAGAGATGTTTCAATAACTCAATTGTTTAGAGCAACAGCATGGAACTGGATGCCGGTAGGTCCTGTCCGTGTCGTAAATTATTTTCAATCTAAAATCAATTTCATTTAAGATCCAATCTCGCCCATTATGAAAAACCTTGTCTGCCCTCTATGATATAAAATACTACATTAATAAACATTTGGTACTTACACAAGGAACGCTAAGAAGACTAATAAGTGTCATCTTCCATGAGTAGAACATCGCCAGACCGACACCTAACACCATCGTGCTGATACCTTGGAGCATCGTACCCAGTCTGGTTCCTGGATAAGAGAATACGTTTTAAATTTAATGAAACAATATACCAAATAACAACAAATAAATAAAAGGTGACAAATAAATTTTCACCAATGGGGCATGGAGCAAACACATTTCTATGTCCGTTTGCCTGATTGGTTTTATCAACAAAGCCTTGTGTTAGTCGACAATTTATCGTTTCCTAGGGATTCGAACCCACGACCGTGTTCGCGAGCGTAATACGCATTTTATCGTGCACGTGTGAACCAAAGACATGGTCTCCTGTGAAAATTGTTTTAGCTAAGTATAATTTCATTTAAATCAACACTTAACGGTTGAATAGGCGAAATATATTAGTTCAATTGTGGTTACTATAACTATCCCTCTGTAAGAACATCAGTTACTTTCGCAAAATATAAACTACATCGAAAGAGGTAGGAATACCCTCCAGCTTCAGTCTTCGATCCGAAACGACGATAAGTTTAAATATATTTCGCGTTATAAACGGTTAAAAGTGTTTCATTTCAATTTGTACTACACGCGTAAACTACAAAAAAAATATGAATACAATACAATAAACGCGTAAATATTATAGTGCATAAGTTCCTTTCTTAATTCAATTAATTAAAATAAATATTTTGGTGATGTTGTATACCTGTAGCGCCCTGTACTGCTGCACAGTCAGTGGCGAGACGAGCACACAACGCCCCAACGGAGTTGGACGGTTCGTCGAACCACCCTTGTTCCTGTAATGTTAACCTTTTTTCATTGAAATCGATTAAAAACGAAATTACTCGGGCAGGACTTGAACCGACATCCACAGCGTTCCGTGCTGTTGTTCATGTGAGAAAAAATAAAATTTACAAAAATTCGAGCTTAGATTGAAAATTATATCATTGGGTTTTATGCGGCACTATGCAAGTATGATAGAATTGATGGAGCATTAAAAATGTGGGCGAGGCTACGAAGCTGAATAAAATAGTTCGGCGAAACCAGTAACCACAAAAACACATGAAAGAAAAATTATTTAATGCATATGTGCATTGTTTGATGAACTGACCTGTTGTAAATAATTTGAGAACATCATGACCCTCAATCGGTTTGTTAATCTGGCACCTGCTAAACCGAAAAGCCAGGTTTGTAGGAATGTAACTAGACCACTGACAGCTGCAACCAGGGCAAAGAGACCGGCGTATAATTCTGACTGACGGAGGATTTCTTCTGGTTCAGGTAAGGAGAACATCTGGAAAAGGTGTACAACAAATTAGTTGAGATTAGCAAAAGTACAAAAGTTTACTCTGCGAATCTAGTAACGATATGTGGACTTCTAGCAATTATGTGTCCTACCTAAAATAACAAGAAGCGGAAGAGTTTGTTCGAACGCGCTTATCTTAGGAATCACGGGATTCGAATTGAATAGAACTTATCAATTCGAATCTCGTTGGATTATTGACTTATAAACATCTCACTACGACTTACAGGGGCGAAGAGACAGTGGAAGTGGATAACACGAAGAGAAAATGGTTTAAGATACACAAACGTATGTATAAAAGAATTAACCTTCGTTAAATAATCTACGAAAATGTCTTGAAATGAAAGCTTTTAACCATATTTACGGAAATTAAATATGTTCGAAATACATTTGACAAAATGAGCCTTTCTTACCCCATATAACTTTGACAGCAATAAGGCAAACACCGGCATAGTAGCTCCAATGATGAGCGAAGCTATCCCGCCAGTTAAAAGTAAGGGCCATTCTTCAGCATTCAGTTTCAGTATTTCCCAATTTGACACAGTCACTTCCTTCTCCGGAACAGGTTCCTGAAAAATATATGACGTGAAAATGAAATGCAGAATATGAGAAAATTATTTTTTAACAGATAAGACCTGGTGAAAATCTAACCAAAGATTGGTTCTAAGCTGTTCGAGAACATCTAACATTTTTAACATGTTTTGATTGTTATATGTATAAAGAATGTAAAGTGCAAAACCATATTAAAAACCAGCCGCTGTCGTTAACATTCTATCAACCTATTACATGGTCCTTCGAGCCGAATCGTATCATATTAAATATGTTTCATATTCTCGAACATAAGCCATGCATTGCTTCTATTGAACCAACGACCTTATATCTCTAGAACAAGACCGCTCCCATTATTTGTTTACTTCGTATAAACTCCTAAACGTAGCTTACATCTTGTGGTATGACGTCTGGCGGTGGATACAGTGATGCAACCGAGGCAACTCGACGACTTCCTCTGGAGAAACTCTCACGCACGAAAGAGTCTGTTGAAAAACACACGTTATAAATGACATAAGGAATTAAAAATTAAAAACAAAACAAAATTTGTTAGTACTGGTCACGAATACTTTATGTAAAGTATAAGTTATTCATTTGGCATTTTAAACCGCTAAAATTGTGTTTTATTCATGTATACCTTTTTGTGAACGGATGCTGCTGGTTCGCCTAACCCTTACTGTCTTCTCTTCTATTACTTCGTCATCTGAACACTCCTCTTGCACGGCTTCTATACTTCTGTAATAATAGGTTAATTTATTAAATTCCTCATATACTGAGAATTCATATTAATTTTTCGATTTAATACATCAGTTATACTCTACTCGCAAATTTACCTATGCGTCATATCATCCTGGACCAGTTTCCAATAAGCGCCCTTCTTCTCCAACAGGTCTATATGAGTTCCAGCTTCAAGTACTGAGCCTTGTTCGATGTACACGATGCGAGAAGCGTTAACGATGGTCGATAATCTAGAAGACAAATTTGTTAAGTACATTGTAATGCTGGGGGGGGGGATTAATTAGGTGAATTATTTTCAATTTATCAAAATTGACTAAAAAAAAATATGATACCGATGTTATTAAAGACGGTAGACTGCTATGGTGGTGCTGAGTGATTAGGCAACCACTTAATGACTGCCTTGGAAATGATATAGTTTTTGGAATAAATATTTATTTAGAATCAGGGATTTTTAATGCATACCTGTGTGATACTACTAGAGTAGTCCGTCCTTTGCTAGCAGCATCTAACGCCAATTGTACCTAAAAGTGGAGAATCTTAGTTACCGATTTATAGGTTAACTACAAAAGACCTTTATAAGTAAGTTCATAAAGGCAAATTAAGTGTGCAAGCGGGAATCAAACTGCCGATTAAACATCAATAGAACTAGGCCAGATTAGCTGTCAAGAATTCAAGAACATTACCTGTCTTTCAGACGCAGGGTCAAGTGCTGATGTGGGTTCATCCAGCAGAAGAATCGCTGGCTTCCTCAATAGAGCTCTGGCTATGGCAACTCTTTGTTTTTGACCACCTGACAATTGAGCCCCACCTTCTCCAAGAATAGTGTCGTAACCCTGATACAGAAAGTTGATAAATTAAAAAAATATACTTCTTGAGAAGAAATGACGTGGCCAGTAGATGTTAATTTTGAGGGATATATAGACCTATCAATACGCTAATGGTGTCCTGGTATAGTCCTGGGTTCAAATTCCGGGGGAAAATTATTGTTTTATTCCGACATGGAAGCTTGGTAAAAAACCTGCCTTTGCCACGTCCACAAGGGTTTCACATCCGAAAAATTGAGTACAAGATTATTTATTTATCATTACTTACGTGAGCCAATTTCATTATAAATTGATGGGCATGCGCAGTTTTTGCTGCTGAAATAATGTCATCTTCAGTGGCACCCTCTACACCCAAAGTAATGTTGTCGCGTATCGTGCCACTGAATAATACTGGCTCTTGACCAACAACACCTGGAAAATAAAATGTTATTTATATTTTAATAACTGATGATACATGTCTTAAGAGATATTGAGGTAGTTTAAAAAAACTAAATTTTTTATTTGTAATACACAAAAGAGTTGAAACCTTGCGTTGTTGCATAGTTACCAGAGCTACACTACGCCTTCGGTTGCGGGTTTGAGTCCCTGTATCATAGATTAAAAAATATTACAAAAAAAATAACATTACCAATTTCAATAGTTAATACCAAAAGTAAGTGGTAACAGACTTTTCGTTAGCAGATAATACCTAATGAAGCTACTAGTAAAAAAATCTATTAAAAACTAAATAGTTAAAACAGCATGGAACACTGTAAATGCTGGTTGTAAATTTTAGTTCACGAAAGCACTTGGTCCATGTTAGTTATAGGAGTCTGTAACTTACCTATGTGAGTTCTGAAGTGATGCAGGTTCAGTTCCCTCAGACCATGACCGTCTACCGTAATGTTACCACTGTCAGGCTCGTATGCTCGTTGCAGGAGCTGAAGAAGAGTGGATTTACCACATCCAGAACCACCCACCAAAGCCACAGTTTCTCCAGCCTTTATCCTTAGTGTCATGCCACGAAGAACCTAAAAAATAATTTACATCATTCGTATTAATTTTTTTAGATTAGCAACTTTTATTTTTTACCTTAAAATGGCTAGATTGAATATGATAAAATTTCATGTAAATGAAATGTGTGATTGATAATCACACATTTCTTCTCACTGAAAAATTAAACTTGGCGATAAAAGAAGTAGCGGCGAGTTTTTTGCCAGTTCTTCACGTTCGTTCTACCCCCATCGATTTGAGAAAAGTAAATGTAAAGTTAGATTCTTTAGTTTTGTGACGTTCATAATTGTACCTACGTGAAAAAATGATTTTTGAACTTGACTGACTTACTTATACGCTTTATAATTTTGTACATACTCGTGTACATATTGTATTCTTTTGAAAAAGTTCTGTTTTTTATTTAGTGCATAGTTTACTTATGACTCCCCTTCCGCCTAAAAAAGGATTATATATAGCCAGATGTGTGCCAAATAAACACCTTCGAAGGGATATACGACTCTATATACCCTAACCTTGACATCCGGCCTCGAAGGATAATTAAAATACAAGTTCTCGAACGACATGTTTCCTTCGAACTTAGCAGGCTTCGCACCAGTCTCAAGTAATGGATCAATCTTGGACTTCTTCTCGAGTAAATTAAAGAGAGATTTAGCAGCTCCCCGTGCTGTGGAGAAGATCTCGAGATGGGTGGTGCACATTGCCGTGTTCTGAGCAGCCATGAAGCAGCAGAATAGGACCTGAAGAGTTTTTTTTTTAATATTTCAATCTATTCGTTAATATGTAGTATGGCAGATAGAGCAAGGAAAGCAGTATTTTGGTCTTTTAAAAGGGTTGAAAGTTGTAAGTTCTAAGATTTTCCGTTTCGTCGATCAAACGTTTTTAATAAAAGCCACAAATGACCAATTATCTATTTTATTTCCTTAAGTTTGAACGGTTTAAGTTGCTCCAGGATAAAAGTATTTCTTTAAAAGTTGTGTTGTTTAAAAAAAACCTTTCGTATATTTCTTACCGTAACCATAACTCCAGGATGATAAATTCTCTCTTCAGCTGGCAAGTCCATGTCCTGAACGCATAGAGCTGTCCCATAGGCAAAGACAATAGAGTTTAAGATGTAAGTTAGAAGCCAGCTCACGCCGGACCCTGCGCCTGTCCATAAACAACGTTTTTGGGTAGAGGAGCTTGCAGATTGCAAGGAGTTTTCATAGCTGGAAGTTATCATTAGTAGTTATTATTATTAGGAACGAGTTATTCGTGAATTTGTGTGGCGTACTAAACATTATGGTTGATTTTATCTGAAATGGATTTAATAAAGGGGGAGTTTCTTCATAAACAGAAAAATAATATTTTAATAATAATGTTTTACATTATTAAATATTCCTTCCTTTATGTATTGTGTAAAATGTATATTGCATCTTTGTATTATTTATATTTTATATTTATTCTAAAGAGTTCTAATTTTGTTTATTAGGTAAATTGGATGGATTCTTTAACCATCAAGTAGCTAATCAGACTTCTGTGCCCTGCCCGATCGGTTAAAATCTAATTGTCACCGGGATTCGAATCCAGGAGCTCTCGCGAATAACGCTGTGTTAGGCAACACGTTTGACCAATAGGCTACAGAGGTAGTCTCATCATCAAATGATTAATGAAACAAATCTATAGCAAAATAAATATCAGCCGATGAGACTCACCTAGAAACCTCCTTCTCTTCACCAGCATACGCTCTGACGGTCCTTATAGCAGCTAAGGCTTGTTCTACCATTCTACCCGCTGTTCCATATGACGTCACTTCTTCAGAAGTATACTTCGTTTGGTACTGTAACATATACGAAATCTTAGACTGTAACTATATATAATGATTTAATAAGGTTTTTAACACCACCAAGATATTTGTCCCACAGAATAATCTCTTTTGATAAATCGGTTTTCATGAGAGAGGGAGACAGACAATGACAATTCGGACATCACAGACTGTAAATGAAACACATTTAAACTGCAAAGCTTTATCTGATCTTTATCGATATTTATCGATTTACAAACCTTAGCAGCAAATGAGACTATCATCAGCGCCACTGGAACGACGACCAGACCAGCAAGAGTTAGCTGCCAGCCATACAACATGGCGACTAGTCCAGCGGAGATCACACTGCCACCTAGATATGACATCATCGCGATCTGCTGACCCACACCGGCTTTTAGCTTGTCCGTGTCTCTGAAAGTGGGATAAAGTTTCTTTTAGCACAGCTGGGGTTTCTACCACGGGGAAGTGGAAGTTGGGTGAAGTTAGCTGATTTTGGGGACTGATCCCGCCATGATCAAGTATAGAACCATTCAGAAAATAATAAAAGGTTCCCATATTTTCTTTAACCTCTGCCATCTCTATAGCCAAATTATTAAACGCGTTTTTTAGCATTGCGTTAAATGCGGGAGGTCCTGTCGAATCCCGCGGAAACAATGGATTATTTCGGTCACGCAGGGCACAGAAGTCTAATCAAAGACTTGGTTGTGAAAAAACCGATGCCGTGCTTTCTTTAACATGCACATTGACTTATTAAAGAAAATAGTTGAATGTTAACTTTACTCTGTAGTTAAGTTAAATTCTCCTGTGGGTTGCCAGGTAAACAAGCGTATAGTAAGTATAGTTCTTACTATTGAACTGAATTACCTAACTTAATTTTTAAATGTAAGTTTCTCAAGATCAGTGGTTTCTCTCTATCCGTGTATATTTTACTTTGAGCAAGTAATGCTCTTAATATTTGTTTTTCACCCTACTTGCTAAACTCACTCTGTGATTGTCGTGGCAAAATTCATTGTTGTATTCATGTCAAAAAAGGCAGTTTCTTGACTCAATACGGAGCGGAGGAGCCGCCATCGGATTCGTGCTATCTGAAAACGTAAAGATTTCATATATAGAAGTACCACACTTAGGTACCTGTTCGACCTGCAGTCAGTAGTTGGGTATAGTCTGGGCCTGTGTATCATTCAACAAATGGTGTCAAGTGGCCTGGGTTTGGATCACATTGCAAAAAGAATCAGCGGAGCAAGAGAACGCTCCGCTACACATCCTATGAGGGCTAGAGGAGTAGAAGGAGGTACGGCCGCCTTCTAGGAGCTCATCCCCCCTGAAATTCTGATGTTAAATATCCATTAGGTCTCCGGGATGAATGGCACAGGCACAGTTTCAGTATGGTGGCCAGGTGAGATTGTTTTTAGTTGGTATTACTACCTACTTCGGTAGCCAGAGTAGAGAGGCATTACAAAAATTGCATACAAAAATTGAATACTGTCTTTAGTTACAAAAATTGCTTTGCTCAAGTCTTACCATTCTAGCAGCCGCCCAGTTTGCCAAACTGACTGCAATTGTGGCGAAGAACATTTGTAGCATCATGATGGCTACACTAGCTGATGCGAAGGCGACAGAATCGTCCACCAACGCGTCCATGTGAAGGCTTCTGTTACCATCGTTTCTGTAAAAATATATTAGGATCAGCTATTGTATATTAACAGTAAGGTTTATTAAACTAATATTTTGTAGACATAAGGCTTTAAAAAGCAACCGTAGGTGCAGAGAAATAATATGCCTCGTTTATTCCTAGATACTTTCAAAGGTAGTACTATAAATGTTATATGTAACTATTGAAGTGATATATTTGACAACATATTTAGCACGTGAATATATATGGTTACTATATGCGATATATTAGTTAAACTTATTTGGGAATGATTTTTAACTTCGGTCGGACGTTTCGGATGCTTTGCAGCAGCCGTGGTCACGGGGAGGGGTCTCAGGTCAGAGGGGAGAGAGGAGAAGTTTAACTAATATATCGCCTTTTAAACCGTTAAAGTGTTTTATTTAAATGTGTATTACTCGCGTAAACTACAGACAGTATATATGGTTACTTCTTGTCAATTAAGTATTGAAAAAGCACTTACCTACCCTTTTTTTAAACCTCCATAGCGTTCTATTAGAGCAACAGTACGGAACGCTATGGATGCCGATTTAAATCGTGCCTGTGACGTATTTTTTTTTTTCAATATAAAATCACATAATGAAAATTGTCAAAAGATTATTCTGTAATTTAATCCGGGCCAATAATAACCAGACGTTTTACGACTAGACCAATGGTGCCGAAGGGCGCATCGGCTTTGGCTTAGACAATCGAAAGTAATGTACACATACCGACGCAACTCACTGGTAAGATGGCGCCCTAGGCTGTAGTTTCCGGGTTCGGTTCCCGTGCAAAAAGTATCAAATCAGGACACCCAATACACTTACAACGTTATCCCACCGCCAAAAAGCTCCAATAACATAGGTTCTGCTGGCGGTCGTTTCGCCTGATCCCTTTGTATAAAGAGGGCAGTCAGTTCCCCATATATTAATACCGCTCCCACCAGACCCAACGAACACAGGAAACCGCAGATAACAGCAGCTGTTGTGGCTGCAACTTCTAGCCATGTTGCGTATCGCCACTGGGGACAAAAAATAATGATTACAATTGTTATTAAAATCATTGTAAAATTGTGTTTTGTTTTAATTAATTAAACACGATATTTCGACTCCTCGAACATGCTTTTTTGTATGATAGGGCAGCTATATACCATCTCAACAAGATGCGCTGTCGGCTTTTGGCTTTGGATATTCGGGATACTGATGTGTTCAGTACATCGAGAGGTCTATGATATAATAATTCTATATAGAATGTATTTTGCTTATCTTTTATGTTAATGATTTGACTGCATGATGTGTAAGGAAGCTTTTATAGACTAAAGACTATAACGTTTAATAAACAAAACCAGATTCACGACATTATAATAATTATTACAAATATATCTTTGAGGGTTTACGTTGCGTGAGCTGCGAAAACGGTTAAGGTACCTACAAATATGTATAAAAGAATTATTCTACATTATACGATCTAAAAAAATGTGTTTTAAGATTAACCCGCAAGATCAACGCGGACGAAGTCGCGGGCTTGCTAATGCGAGGTAAGGATTATATTTTATAATGTATGTTATTCAAAAATAGTAGTTACCACCATGATAATATATAAGTATTCAGGACCGGATTTAGAAGTATACATGCCTCGAGGGCAACAAAAGAGTAAAATATTTCTGAAAACAAAATACTTTCTCTGTCGAGTTTGTGAGTAAATAATTTATTTTGACATGAATTAGAATGTTTTAGTATTTAACAAAGCAATAAATATTTTCGATAAAAATCAGAAAATAAATTTCAGCGTAACTTTTTTATACAATTAAGAGAAATCCGAAATCTATTGCGTTGGCTCCGGGCGTCCTTTCTTAAATCCGGCCCTGTTAGTTTTACGTTTACCCAACCTCCCCTTTACGTAATATAATAAAACTGAATAATAAAACGAAAGCTGTATAAGGAAAATCCAATTCAATTTTTGTTGATAATTTATAGCTTCCTGCTTGAACCAGTTGTTCACCTGAATTTGTCAAATTCTGATATTATCTAATGATAATACTTGTACGGTGTTAACACCGTACAAGTATTTTTTGCATTTTGTCGTAAGAACAATGTCTTAGTATGATTCATATACGACCTCTTTGTTTGAACGTTTGGATAGGTTTTAATTTTAATGTCATACAAGGATCATATGTTTTTGTTTATTTGTTGTATTTATTAGAATTAAGTAATAAATATAATTCTAATAATAAATATAGTTAAATATTCTCTAATACATTTTTTTACTTCTAGCAAAGTAACTGGCTAGGCAGCGCTAAGAGTATCTTCTCACTAACTAACTTAACTAGGTAACTTTAAACCCAAAGTTTTCAATTTTTTTTAATAACAGCAATTATTGTACATGTGCAATAAAGCAAAGAAATAGAGTCTATCAATTGTTCATAGTATTAATTTGTTCCTATAAGTATATACTTGGATATTATTTAGATCTCCTTTCTTTTTACGGCGTAGCAAAGCACAATTTTTGTTTTAAACTCCGCTCCCCTTTTACGTTAATGTTTTTGATGGGATCATATTTACTTAACCTCTTTCAATCCAGCGACACAGAGCACTAGAGCCAATATGAACAGTATACAAAACAGCTAGTCGATCAAATTTATATAATTATCGTAAGCTTTGTATGAAAAAGATAAATATGCAAATATATTTATGAATAGGTTATTTCATACTATTATTACATAACATTTACATTACATATTAATTACTATAGACGTAAATATAAGTGTTTACCAGATCGTTGTAAAAATTACGCAGTATTTTTACACGTGTTCTTGTTTATTTAAATCTCTATTAAGGTGATTCATCGATCATAAGTTCATTATAAAAAATGATTTAGCGAAAACATCAGTCTATATCGTCGTTATCAACATTCGGGTACACTAACCACTAGAGTCTAGACGAAAGAGACAGAAGGGAGACCTAAGTATTTTTTTATGATAGGTGAAATACCCCAGCCATATAACAACTAAACAAGATGTGCTGTCGTCCTATTTTGGCTTTGGATAATCTGAGATCCAGACTAAAACTGACACGTGATAAAACTTCACAGCTTTTTCGTCTGAGAACAATAGTTCGTGGACCCGGACGGAATTTTCGATATTTGAACGACCCATTCAATATTCAAATTCAAAATTCTTTATTCACCAAAACTGTGTACATATCATTATAGGGTGTGCTAGCCCTCACACTAGGGTTCCCTTTGTCTTGGGCGGCTAGATTCTTCCGGTGCATTTCGAGAAAAACAATGAAAAACTTAGTATCTACTTATAAAGTTATCATATGCTAAGTATTTAAATAATAATAAATTAAACTTAAAAATAAGGATAACATTTTGTCATACAATTACATTAATACAGATTTCTAGACGAAAAAGTTTGTTTGAAAAACAAATGTAAATTGATAAGAAAAATTATGGGCATAATGGGAATCGAATCCACGACTGGTTGATTATTAGCACACAGATTGTTACGAGTTCGTCGAATTAAATTTTTCCTTGTATTTTTATGCTTCATTCATAAATATTTAACACATCGCTGTTAACTTACTTGACAGTGTTTCCCCGCACCGTGTACAGTCACCGTAGATGTTTATAATTAATCGCTTACTTTCGAAATCGGGACTGAACCCTGATACTCCAACAACTGAGGTCTTTAACACGCAATGACCTCAATCAATTTTAAAACCGGTTTTTTGCATCAAAGAAAGTTTCGTGTGACCACGTCTCTGCACTTCTATGGTGAGTACAAAGAACGGTTTTGACGGGCAGTGTATAATAATCAAGGGGTCGTGGATTCGATCCCCACGGAGTCCAACATTGTTCAAATTAATTTATAATTTTTCTATATTGAAATTTCCATAGACGAAAATCTTCAATCTGTGGATTTCCAAATATCCGAAGTCAAAATAGGTATTTCACCTATAATAGTATAAGATTATAATTCTAATTTGATCATTAACTAGATTTTTTGCATATTTTTGTCACTACACTTTAAGTGCAGTCTCTGTAAGTTGAAACTTGGGAGAATAAAAAAAAGAGGAGTTTTTAAAGGATTAGCGGCGGGTTGTTTCATTTTGCCCATAATTTGAGGACTTGCAGTTAAACTTAATTTAGTTATATTTAACTTCAAGTTCATTAACGATTACACGTACTCAATTATGAATAATGCATTTTTGATTTGAAATTAACAGAGTCCAACAAAAATTATAATTAAACAATACCTTATTAACTTATTAAAATCACTAATTAACCAAAATGATAATTATTATCAGCGTTATAATTCCTTTGTTTATCTTTTCATTTTTAAAAAGGTGTAAAAAACAATAAATACCGTTTTATTTCCGAACAAGAAAAGGGTACCTTTTCCTTTAAAAATAACTACTGTAGGTACTATATGCAGTTTATTATTATATTGTTATCCTCTTCAGAGTAACGTCTGGATTGTCCAAGTTCCCAGCGATAACATTGGTGAACCCACATATCAATCACCACAAATACTAAATAACAAAAGAATATCGTCAGCGAATCTTCCTTTGTTTTTGGGGTTGGCAGGGCAATTTTCATTCGTGCATAAACAATAAATTACACAATTACACAGAAACATTCTCTGGGGCCGGGTTAAGCACATTCCTTTATCTATTTCATAGAACGTTTTTTTTAAAGCAACTAAGTCTAAGTTTAGACTACCGATCGACCGAAATAATTTATCGTTTTCCCGGGGTCCGAACCCAGTACCTGTGGCAAACGCCAAGCTAGGTTACACATTTAACTGTTACAAAGCTACAAAGGTACAAAGGTTAACTTAAAAATATAGCAGCGGTTTATTTCTGATAAAATAGACGACAGTTTCAAAATGTATGGTCACTCAAGCTGTCAAACTTGTTGTATTGCATTATGTATTGGGATTCCCGCACAATTGCGATCTTTGTTTTCTTGGAACGAAACAGGAAGACTTCAAAAGCTCATAAAAAGATTAGAAGTAGCTTAAATATCGCTTAATTACCGTGGATAAATAACTAAAATTTCACAGAAACTGTAAAATCTAAATAAATCACTCGTTTAAAACGCGAAATATATTAGTTAACTTATTTTATGGACCTAACGCTTAACATTTTATTCAGCAGATGTCGCCACAAGGAAGCTCCAGTATGACGCGTTTTGAATTGTTAAAAATATTGTTTTTAAATATGTCGCTAAAGATATAGACACAAATTTCTTAAAAAAATCTATAATATCTTATTGTAAACATAGAATTATACTTTGAGTTATGTTTTGTACGCGGATATCCCGCAATAAAACTGTAGAATACCTCGTAATGTATGACAATGTATCATAACTCTAATTTTCATTCATCTCTATTACGTGTATAGAGGAACAATTTTCTTAAATAATATTAATTTATTCTGCAATTTAAACTATCGTAATTTTAACCTTTTTTACGGAACAAGAATTTTTAATAAAGTTTTTTAAATTCCAAGCATTCAAAAAGTAACGTTTTACAATCTATACTAATATATAAAGCCGAAGAGTTTGTTTATTTGAAGCTCTAATCTCAGAAACTACTGGTTCGAATTGAAAAATTATTTTTGTGTTGGTTAGAGAATTTATCGAGGAAGGCTATTAAACACCCGCCCTGTGACGAATACAAAGATACAGGGAGAATGTGAAAAAAAATGGGAAAATTATTCATCATTATAGGTTTCCGAGGCGTACGCTGCAAAAACGGTTCAAAACACCCAAAAACTATGTATGCAAGAATTATTTCTCTTTAAAGGATCTACAAAAAAGTTCTTGACTCTATACGTCTATCTTTTAAGATTAACTTTCAAGAACGACGGAAAGAGACGCGATCGACGTTGTGGGTAAAAGCTTAAGTTTATAAAGGTAAATGGGGTTTGCAAAAAGTAATTAGGATGCCCATAATAACGACTCTCACGGACAAAGTCGCTGACGCAGCTAGTTTTCCTATAAATATTAAAAACCTTTTTACAAATATTTAATTAATACGAGACAAGTTGTAAAACTTATTTTATAAAAAACATTATTTATAATATTTGTTTTTACAATTTCCTTTTAACATATTTTTAATAAAATTAGCAATTACTCCATTAGAACAAAAAGCGTTGTTAATTATTTTTCTTTTAATGTATACACGTTACGTTGAGTAAATAAGTGATAATAATAAAATAAACGTGGCATTATAAATTGGTTCTATAATATGATTTATGCGTCTTTTGTTATTCGATTTATATGTTTACTGACCAGAGAGAATTGAAGATTATTTTCAACCGCAACTATTTGTCATTCGTCATTGCTCCTTTTAATTTATATCTTCTTAATAATCTAGAATACGTTAAAATCATGTAGCCCGAATGTTTCCGCCGCATGTCATCGCGACTTTGTGGTGAGTACTCTTACCAAACCACCTTTATTCCTTTGTAGGACATTTAGCTTAACCCACAAAATGATACACAGTACACTATTTTGTCAATAGTCAATGTCGAAAATATATTGTCAATTGTCAATGTCAAAAATGTATTGTTAAAGGAATT